CTTCTTTACGGCTGGACTAGGGGTGAACAAAATTTATACCTGGAATCTGATTCAATACTCCAACTAATACACCGAGTCTTTATAGAAAAGACTTCGGATTTGGCCACGATTCTGAAATTCCCGAAATGTGAGCTTGGAGTCTGAATCCAAATATTATAGAAACAATTACGGCTTCAACCATGATTTCGGAATTAACAAAATGTGAACTTGGAATCTGACTCGAAATATTAAAGAAACAACACCGGATTTGACCCCGACTTCAAATATTATAGAAACAACACCGGATTTGACCGCGACTCCGGAATTAACGAAATGTGGACTCTGAATCTGACTCTAAATTTTATAGAAACAACTCCGGCTTTGACTCCGACTCCGGAATTAACGAAATGTTGACTCCGAATCTGACTCCAAGTATTATAGAAACAACACCGGATTTGATCCCGACTCCGGAATTAACGAAATGTAGACTCTGAATCTGATTCCAAATATTATAGAAATAACTCCCGACTCCGGAATTAACGAAATGTGGACTCCGAATCTGACTCCAAAATATTATAGAAACAACATCGGATTTGACCCCGACTCCGGAATTGACGAAATTTTGACTCTGAATCTGACTCCAAATTTTATAAAAATAACTCCGGCTTTGACTCCGACATTAACGAAATGTGGACTCTGAATCTGACTCCAAATAATATAGAAACAACACCGGATTTGATCCCGACTGCGGAATTAACGAAATTTTTGACTCTGAATCTGACTCCAAATTTTATAAAAATAACTCCGGCTTTGACTCCGACTCCGGAATTAACGAAATGTGGACTCTGAATCTGACTCCAAATAATATAGAAACAACATCGGATTTAATCCCGACTCCGGAATTAACGAAATGTAGACTCTGAATCTGACTCCAAATATTATAGAAACAACACCGGATTTGACCCCGACTCCGGAATAACAAAATGTGGACTCTGAATCTGACTCCAAATATTATAGAAATAACACCGGATTTGACCCCGACTCCGGAATTAACGGAATGTAGATTCTGAATCAAAGCGGTATAGAAGCAACTCCGGCTCCGAGATATATATTCAACGGAACCTTCTCCCATGAATGAAATCAACACGGAATTTATAAGAGCGACACTGCCGTCGCATATTATCAAACGTCCTGACGGTCTGGTGTAGCACAACGCATGATCTCTCCGGAATCGTGCAATAAAATTGGAAATGGAGGTCGAATTATGTTCGTTCGTGACGTATGACGCAACAGCCAATGGGGGTTTGCCTTCCATGGGATGTCGGACGACAATTTCATATATATAAAATGGCTTTTTATCTTTAAAGCTTCGCAATATACTACCAGTGGCGTCTATATATATTATGTCCTCTCTCGCGACGTCCTGTAAAATATCTATGGTATCACGAGACCACAGCATAATACTAGCAGGCACACGCGATATTTGCTGCAATGTTCCCAACACCTTCCTTGATGGGTCATTGTTATTTTTTCTTTGCTGATTACGCAAACGCTCAAGCGATTCCCACTGATCCGAGTCTAACTTCGCTATACCTCGGGCCTCGTATCTAGCCTTCTTTAAAACACTGACAGATGGGGCATCGTCTCGATTACCAGAACAAAAGATATTGCTAGGAACCTCTTTAATAAAGTCCAGGTAACATTCACGAGGCATCTTGTTTTTGAGCTCTTTTTTAACCATTTCACGACGAGCGCCTTTTAAAATAGCAGATACAATTGTTGAGTGTTTTACATTGCCGGTATAAGACACATGCATCAAACGAGAATTGACACGATAAGAAGTTATCGTAAACTTCCTATCACAATTAGGAAAACGACAATATCCAGTAGTGTGAAACACACGCGACCGCTGTCGTTGTTTGTGTTAAAAGTATGGCGACGAAACGCAAATGAGCAATAAGGATTGCTTAATTTCATGCCATCTCTTATTTTATCCCCCCAGTCTTTGTAAAGAATTATTCTGTTTTTGACAGAGCACAAAATGGCATTCCAGTCATCTTCTTTAACTATAAACTCAGCCTTGTTAGGCAAATCCTCAATGGGTATCCATGCCTGAGTTGTAGATTCCACATGCCGTTCTTTGACTTGTGAAGAATCGGGATGTTCGGGTGCGTTTTCTTGCTTTTGTTCGTCATTGGCATTTGATTTGGTCATTTCAAGATCGAATGTAACGTCATCGCGTTGAGGAGACGATTGCTTATAATTTGGACAGGAGCTTGCATGCGAAACTTGTTCATGATTTTGCTGGGGAGAAATATTTGGGTTTTCAAATTCATCGTGAACGGTGTGTAACTTGTGATCTATGGAGATGACATTTTCAATGTTGTTATCAGAAGTTTTGCTATCTTTTTGAACGCGCTTTTCGAGCAGCGGACTTTCGGATTCACCAATGGGACGGGCGGAATCGTAATTAAAATTATCGGAAATGCGGGAGCAGTCCTTTTCCGACGGCGAACGGTTTGACGCCGGGCGTTTATGCGGTCTATATTTGTATTTATATTTACTTCTGTATTTATATTTTTGGCAAATCAATCTGGAATATTTACAATCGTATTTACATTTAAATTGCCCAGTTAAATTTTCGCCAAGAGACGCGAATTGACCGGTCTTGGATTTTCTGATATTTTGTTCGGCCGCATTATTATTGCATTTAGCGCTGGTATCACGATTAAAAGATCGCATGTCGCAAATTTTTAGTATTTCCCTTTTTGTTTTCTCGCCAAAATCTTTTTGCTTCCAATATTTTTCGCTTGGTTTCATATTTGGACATGTTTGGGGTGAAAAATGTAGAAACTAATCGATACCAACAATCGTAATCATGTGGATCAAACTTTTCCATCGAATTCATCAATACTGCAAAATTTTCTGCCGTGTACACATTTTTCTTGTATGTCCCACCGCCTCCGAGCAAGCGGACTGGAGTGCTTGACTTTACTTCCCCTTCTATTCTGTTTGTTCTCCTGTTACATAAAACATGATAAACTTTAGATATATTTCATGTTAACTAAATATTTACATCTACTACAACATTTGTCTTTTGTCCATAGCTAAGTACACAATATTTCCGTGAACTTTACAGTATTTGCTTTATATTACCTGCACGTTAAGTGATTAACCCTTCCTCTTTTCTTTAGTGAAATCGGTAGTGTCGGAATATCCAGCTTCGTAAAAACATCTATTGCCGCTCGCTGTTCTTCCGTCGCCACTGGTTGACGAATCCCTGAATTTAAAATTCTAACATGTGAATTCTGTCTATTACATATGACTTTTACGTTTACACTTGACATTTCTTCGTAAGATTCCTGCTCTTTTCTTCTTGCCTTCTCCTCTTTGTCCTCAGTCTTCTTTTCAATGTTCTCGTGTACATCCAATGATCCGCTTCTATCTGACGCTGCAATGCTGGAAACTCTAGATACACCACAGTTTGTTACTTTCCCACTAGGCCTAATTACCAGTTCAACTGCCGACTTCTTTTCTGCTTTCTTCTCCTTCTTTCTTCTCATCTTCTTACTTGGCGGACTTCTTTCTGTTGGCACAAAAACAGGTTTAGCACTAGTCCTATTTACCTGTTCTTCGGTCGGCTTGCATTCAGATACAGCCACATTCTTCTGTTCTTCTTTGGTCCTGCTAAAAAGTGAATTGTGGTTACCCTTACCCTTTCTTCTCTTTGGCGCGTAGGATCTTCTTTCTCTTCTTGATAGCACAACGCGCGATGCGTTGTACGACTCCGACGACGAAATCACGTACTCCATCGAAAACCTGGAAAAACTCAAATCATCGTTATTACTAAAAACTGTTACCTGCTCCGTTAACTTACTTTTCTCCTGTCTCCTCTTTCTTCCGCTGGCCCTTTGTGACGTCGTGCATCCATTTCCGTCGCTCTCCCCACGATCTGTAACAAACGATCCAAAGGATATTAATTTTTCTTTGTTATTAGATACACCCACCAAATTTGATACAGATGATTCGAGCGTCTCCATATACTGCTGAAGTCCAACGTCTGAAAGATGAAGTCGACCGTTCCAACAATTCGGATCCTTGCCAACGTCAAGATCCAACAGTGGTAACATCGCATCAGACGCTATTCCCGAGAGAACAACGTTGGCCACCTGGACGCGAGTGTGACGTCCGGTCTGGGGCAAGATTTTCGCCAACAGAATCTGAATATAAAATGTATTTATCATCAATATTTTGATGCAATAATTTAAAAAACAAACAGTAGAAAAATATATCTTATATATATATCTAAATAAAAAGCAATTGCGTTTTCACTTCAAGCCAAAACCTAACTAATCATGTGAATTTCTATCCACCACGTACATTTACATTGCAAACTTGAAGTTAACTCGACTACATCATAAACAGTGGCTCAGTCTTTTTTTATTTGTTTGCAAAATAGTGCATACAGTGAGAAAAAATGAGTTATTACGACAATGTATAGGCGACTGTGGATGTTCCTTAAATCCGCAATAAAGTGAACAATATTATCGCACACGGCGTGTACATATTGATCGCTTTCGGCGATACTCATTTGCAAATTGAAACGATATCCTACACCCGATTAATAAAATCAGAAAATGCACAAAAGTTAGGTTTCGGGGCACTGTGTCAAATAAAAATAGTACTGTAACGCTGTATTAGATAACATAAAGCGCAAAATTTAGCCAGAAACGGGAACTATACCACGAATCTCCCTACCCGAAAATTATATTTAACATTTAAAGCAACTCTCGTACGTCTATTTCTACACTATCTTGCTCTACGCGAGTCTTTGATAACCCGGCACTTCGTACCACCAAGATAGATGAAGTCGTGTGCTTGTATAGCTTGGATAACTTCGGTAGTGAATTTCGGCAATGACCAATCCATAACCGATACGGACATAGTTAAAATGTCTTGCTTTATTTATTTAATTGCTTTTATTTAAATCTGAAGTTGCGTCGACAAAAACAAAAATTACTAACTCAAAATACCATGGCCATCCGCGATCGGGTGGGTGGTTGAATATATATATTTTTTCCTATTTTTGCAATTTTACAAACCGACAAGTCTGAGCTATGCTTACAACACTGACTCTGTTTTATCACAATGCTGTCTCTCATATCATTTTAAAATATCACCGTTACAAAATCTCTAAGTCTGCGATAAAATCTGAAATTTATATTAGTATAATCATATTCAGAGAGAAGTCGCATTAGTTTTCGTTTGTAGTCTTTGAATGGATAAAAAAATACATTAGGCGCGCACTGGCTGTGTTTAGATTTCAGGCACACAAAATTTTGCGATTTGCAGTGTCTAAAAAAAGCGTTTTCAATCTTTTGCGGGCCTCCCTAAAACGAGTGTTATTCGTTTTATTTTCAGTATTTTAACCTTTATACCAGTCAAATGCGGCCCACAAGAAAAAATTGTGTGGCCCGCGGAGAGGTGCCAATTTTGAATGGTGTGCGGCCCGAGAAACGATTTTTTAGTCTGGTACGCGCGAGTAATTCCAATACGTTTAGTATTGCAAAGCCGATACCTGCCTATGACGTTACAATGACCTAACAGCTGGTTTGAAAACTTTTTGGTGTGCAACTACTAGAAAGCCTATGTTAATCCGCGGTCGGAAATAATTTGAAATAATTGGGGGTCGATGGCGTGTCGACCCACTTATTCCGGAGCTCCCGAAGTATGCGCACAACTTAAACATACGATGTGTGTACCAGGTTAGGGTTCAGGTTGTGCGTCATCTTGGTACGAATACTTCGGGAGCGCCCTGATTTTTACTGAAGGTTTATTGAAAAATTGTAATTAATTGCACCTTCAATTGCTTTATAACTTTGTCACATACTAAGATGGGCGGCGAACACTTTTATTACATGGATTATAGGTTTTTCTGCAGACGTATCGTTATTCGATTAGAATACATAGGAGTTTGTGATATTATGATAACATATTTTGTTTATTTCACTGTAATAATGTATTATTCAAAACAATTGAATTCTGCTAGCGAAAATACCCGATTAAGTTGCGATAGATTGGATGATAAATTGTAAAAACATGTAAGAATTCGGGTATAATCTACGAAAACTATAAAATTGTAATATATATATATTATATATATATAAAATATATGATAATTCCCTTAAATTTCGTTTTTAAACGTTTAAGGGGGAGGGGAGACGCAATGCAAAAAAAGTTTTGAGTCACGATAAGAGAATTTTCGAATGCCGTCTTTTAGACGGCCTAACCTACAAATATTTATATATATATAAGTTATGCAACTATGCTAGCATCTAACAGACATCTCAAATTTGTCTACAAATTGGGTTGATAATCAATATTCACTTAGAAATACTTCACTTAAGACTACATTTTTTTTGATAGAAATACGTTTCGCGCATAAAGCAATGTATCATTCAACTAAGCAATGTCAATGTCATGGTCTTATGAGAAGGAAATCAAAAATCTTTCAAATTTAATAATTATAACGAGGCTAAAAACAATTTTGGCTAATGCTGATAGCTGATAATGAAAATCGTCTTACCTTGGAACCCGGGTAAACACGTTTACACTCATCGATAATCTCTATGGCACGCCCGTGAAAGTAAGAAGAAAAGTTCTTCTCACTTTCTTGGTAGCTGGCGACGTCGTTCGTCCCAAGAGCGATTACCAGGTAATCAACAGATGGGAAAGGCGTAGTATTCCTCAATTCCGCAACACCGTGTCTCATTGTCCCACCCGGCAAGCAGATGACAGAAAATGAGAACGGGCAGGAAACAGAGGGAACGACTACCTGTAAATTAATAAGCAACAAATGAGGATTTTCAAATGCGCTTCATATCTTAAACCTGAACACGGATACGTTTGCAGTGTGCTATGCAACTGACGTCGTTTATGATCTAACAATGTCCCCAAACGGCCAGTAGTCGGATCAACATGGCTTCGTTAGCTTCATTTATAGAGAAATATTACGCGATGCTAGAAAGCTAAACGTCTTTATATATCTTTTCAGCTGTCCATACTGTGAAGTTACAGACACAAGTAAATGACTGACAATCGAACTAGGCTTTTATCATTAATTGTTTACAATTTTTTGTAGGTAGGTTATACCATTTTATTTACTACTTATTTATAGACGACCTACCCGGGGGAGCACGAGATTTCGTGAATTGCTGTCAGACAGCAGCAAGAGTCTTGGTCGTCCATCAAGTTCCGCTCTCAGGTACGCAGTCTGCTTTCCAGAAACTCCTCTCCTGTAGGTGATCGGCCGAGTGCGAAATCCTCTCATAGTGATGACCTAAAAACTTAAAAGCAATTTAAAAATTTTACGCCTATGTTACCAGTGATTTGCTGAGTCTTCGAAAGTATTTGAGCTCGATTTCTCCAACAAGTCAAGTAGTAAGTGAATACGTGGTATTGTTAAGTTTTCTTCAAATATATCCGAGATTGATTAACTGGTCAAGTCAGGTATTCCGTGAAGCTGTTCGAATGTATCCGCAACTATACAATTAAAATTTGACGTGGAACACAATTACCGCGGAATATTGATAACGGTCGAGTGTGCTAATTTTGACTTTATTTTAAAGTCTTTCCCGACGGTAAATTTTTTTTATTTTTTGATATATTTTAGATGAAACACTGTGTAATATGACTCCTAAATTTTTTGAGGAACAAACCATAGGATCATTTTCAATTTACAATTAAAATTTGACGTGGAACACCATTACCGCGAAATATTGAAAACGGTCGAGTGTGCTCATTTTGACTTTAATTTTAAAGTCTTTCCCGACGGTAGAATTTTTTTATTTTTTAATATTTTCTAAATTAATTAGTATGTAATATGACTATTCAATTTTTGAGGAACAAACCATAGGATCAATTTTAATTTACAATTAAAATTTGACGTGGAACACCATTACCGCAAAATATTGAAAACGGTTGAGTGTGCTAATTTTAACTTTAATTTTAAAGTCTTTCCCGACGGTAGAATTTTTTTATTTTTCATTATATTTTAGATGAAATACTATGTAAAATGACTATTGAATTTTTTGAGGAACAAACCATAGGATCATTTTCAATTTACAATTAAAATTTGACGTGGAACACCATTACCATTACCACCATATTTTCTGATATTTTTTAGATGAATTACTATGTAATATGACTATTGAATTCTTTTATTTTTCAATATATTTTAGATGAAATACTATGTAATATGACTCTTAAATTTTTTGAGGATCGAACCATAAGATCATTTTCAATTTACAATTAAAATTTGACGTGGAACATCATTACCGCGAAATATTGAAAACGGTCGAGTGTGCTCAATTTGACTTTAATTTTAAACTCTTTCCCGACGGTAGAATTTTTTTATTTTTTAATATTTTCTATATTAATTAGTATGTGATACGACTATTCAATTTTTTGAGGAACAAACTATAGGATCAATTTCAATTTACAATTAAAATTTGACGTGGAACACCATTACCGCGAAATATTGATAACGGTTGAGTGCGCTAATTTTGACTTTAATTTTGAAATCTTTCCCGACGGTAAAATTTTTTTATTTTCTAATATTTTTTAAATGAATTACTATGTAATATGACTATTTAATTTTTTGAGGAACAAACCATAGGATCATTTTCAATTCACAATTGAAATTTGACGTAGAACACCATTACCGTGAAATATTAATAACGGTCGAGTGTGCTAATTTTGACTTCTATTTTAAAGTCTTTCCCGACGGTAAAATTGTTTTATTTTTCAATATATTTTAGATGAAATACTATGTAATATGACTCTTAAATTTTTTAAAGAACAAACCATAAGATCATTTACAATTAAAATTTGACGTGGAACACCATTACAGCGAAATATTGAAAACGGTCGAGTGTGCTCTTTTTAACCTTAATTTTAAAGTCTTTCCCGACAGTAGAATTTTTTTATTTTTCAATATTTTCTATATTAATTAGTATGTAATATGACTATCCAATTTTTTGAGGAACAAACCAAAGGATCAATTTACAATTGAAATTTGACGTGGAACACCATTACCGCGAAATATTGATAACGACTGAGTGTGCTAATTTCGACTTTAATTTTAAAGTCTTTCCCAACGGTAAAATTTTTTTATTTTTCAATATATTTTAGATGAAATACTATGTTATATGACTCTTAAATTTTTTGAGGAACAAACCATAAGATCATTTTCAATTTACAATTAAAATTTGACGTGGAACACTACTACAGCGAAATATTGAAAACGGTCGAGTGTGCTAATTTTGACTTTACTTTTAAAGTCTTTCCCGACGGTAGAATTTTTTTATTTTTCAATATTTTTTAAATGAAATACTATGTAATATGACTATTCAATTTTTTGAGGAACAAACCAAAGGATCAAATTACAATTAAAATTTGACGTGGAACACCATTACCGCGAAATATTGATAACGATTGAGTGTGCTAATTTCGACTTTAATTTTAAAGTCTTTCCCAACGGTAAAATTTTTTTATTTTTCAATATATTTTAGATGAAATACTATGTAATATGACTCTTAAATTTTTTGAGGAACAAACCATAAAATCATTTTCAATTTACAATTAAAATTTGACGTGAAACACTATTACAGCGAAATATTGAAAACGGTCGAGTGTGCTAATTTTGACTTTACTTTTAAAGTCTTTCCCGACAGTAGAATTTTTTCATTTTTCAATATTTTTTAAATGAAATACTATGTAATATGACTATTCAATTTTTTGAGGAACAAACCATAGGATCATTTTCAATTTACAATTGAAATTTGACGTGGAACACCTTTACCGCGAAAATTGATAACGGTCGAGTGTGCTAATTTTGACTTTAATTTTAAAATCTTTCCCGACGGTAGAATTTTTTTATTTTCTGATATTTTTTAGATGAATTATTTTGTAATATGACTCTTAAATTTTTTGAGGAACAATCCATAGAATCATTTTCAATTTACAATTGAAATTTGAAGTAGAACACCATTACCGTGAAATATTGATAACGGTCGAGTGTGCTAATTTTGACTTTAATTTTAAAGTCTTTCCCGACTGTAAAATGTTTTTATTTTTCAATATTTTTTAGATGAAATACTATGTAATATGACTATTCAATTTTTTGAGGAACAAACCATAGGATCATTTTCAATTTACAATTGAAATTTGACGTGGAACACCTTTACCGCGAATATTGATAACGGTCAAGTGTGCTAATTTTGACTTTAATTTTAAAGTCTTTCCCGTCGGTAAAACTTTTTTATTTTTCAATATTTTTTAGATGAAATACTATGTAATATGACTATTCAATTTTTTGAGGAACAAACCATAGGATCATTTTCAATTTACAATTGAAATTTGACGTAGAACACCATTACCGTGAAATATTGATAACGGTCGAGTGTGCTAATTTTGACTTTAATTTTAAAGTCTTTCCCGACGGTAAATTTTTTTTATTTTTCAATATTTTTTGAATGAAATACTATGTAATATGACGAGAAAATTTTTTGAGGAACAAACCATAGGATCATTTTCAATTTACAATTGAAATTTGACGTGGAACACCTTTACCGCGAATATTGATAACGGTCGAGTGTGCTAATTTTGACTTTAATTTGAAAATCTTTCCCGACGGTAGAATTTTTTTATTTTCTGATATTTTTTAGATGAATTATTATGTAATATGACTATTTAATTTTTTGAGAAACAAACCATAGGAATCAATTTCAATTTACAATTAAAATTTGACGTGGAACACCATTACCGCAAAATATTGAAAACGGTTGAAGTGTGCTAATTTTAACTTTAATTTTAAAGTCTTTCCCGACAGTAGAATTTTTTTATTTTTCATTATATTTTAGATGAAATACTATGTAAAATGACTATCGAATTTTTTGAGGAACAAGCCATAGGATCATTTTCAATTTACAATTAAAATTTGACGTGGAACACCATTACCATTACCAACATATTTTCTGATATTTTTTAGATGAATTACTATGTAATATGACTATTGAATTCTTTTATTTTTCAATATATTTTAGATGAAATACTATGTAATATGACTCTTAAATTTTTTGAGGATCAAACCATAAGATCATTTTCAATTTACAATTAAAATTTGACGTGGAACATCATTACCGCGAAATATTGAAAACGGTTGAGTGTGCTCAATTTGACTTTAATTTTAAAACTCTTTCCGACGGTAGAATTTTTTTATTTTTAATATTTTCTATATTAATTATTATGTGATACGACTATTCAATTTTTTGAGGAACAAAATAAAGGATAAATTTCAATTTACAATTAAAATTTGACGTGGAACATCATTACCGCGAAATATTGAAAACGGTTGAGTGTGCTCAATTTGACTTTAATTTTAAACTCTTTCCCGACGGTAGAATTTTTTTATTTTTTAATATTTTCTATATTAATTATTATGTGATACGACTATTCAATTTTTTGAGGAACAAAATATAGGATCAATTTCAATTTACAATTAAAATTTGACGTGGAACACCATTACCGCGAAATATTGATAACGGTTGAGTGTGCTAATTTCGACTTTAATTTTAAAGTCTTTCCCAACGGTAAAATTTTTTTATTTTTCAATATATTTTAGATGAAATACTATGTAATATGACTCTTAAATTTTTTGAGGAACAAACCATAGGATCATTTTCAATTTACAATTGAAATTTGACGTAGAACACCATTACCGTGAAATATTGATAACGGTCGAGTGTGCTAATTTTGACTTTAATTTTAAGTCTTTCCCGACGGTAAAATTTTTTTTATTTTTCAATATTTTTTAGATGAAATACTATGTAATATGACTATCAAATTTTTTGAGGAACAAACCATAGGATCATTTTCAATTTACAATTGAAATTTGGCGTGGAACACCTTTACCGCGAATATTGATAACGGTCGAGTGTGCTAATTTTGACTTTTATTTGAAAATCTTTCCCGACGGTAGAATTTTTTTATTTTCTGATATTTTTTAGATGAATTATTATGTAAAATGACTATTCAATTTTTTGAGAAACAAACCATAGGATCAATTTCAATTTACAATTAAAATTTGACGTGGAACACCATTACCGCAAAATATTGAAAACGGTTGAGTGTGCTAATTTTAATTTTAAAGTCTTTCCCGACGGTAGAATTTTTTTATTTTTCAATATTTTTTAGATGAAATACTATGTAATATGACTATTCAAGTTTTTGAGGAACAAACCATAGGATCATTTTCAATTTACAATTGAAATTTGACGTGGAACACAATTACCGTGAAATATTGATAACGGTTGAGTGTGCTAATTTTGACTTCAATTTTAAAGTCTTTCCCGACGGTAGAATTTTTTTATTTTTCAATATTTTCTAAATGAAATACTATGTAATGAGACTATTCAATTTTTTGGGGAACAAACCATAGGATCATTTTCAATTTACAATTGAAATTTGACGTGGATCACCATTACCGCGAAATATTGATAACGGTGGAGTGTGCTAATTTTGATTTTAAATTTGAAGTCTTTCTCTACGGTAAAATTTTTTGAAATTTGTAAGATCATATACTGTATATTATGATAATTTAATTCCGTGGTAAACATTTTGTTGATTTCTTTTCGATGAACTGTTGAATTTCGACATCAAAAGCCTTCGAGACAATGTGTATCTGCTGGTGAAATGTTTTCATCATGTTTATTTTTTATTGTACAAGATGTATTTGTGCAAATCAATTATGGTTTATTCATAACTACATTTTTCTTCATAAAAAGAACAGACACTTAGCTTAGATTTCAATTTTCTTATTTTTGAGTTTCGACGGTCAATTTCAGGCTTGTTTACCGTCATATCTGGTAACACTGGTTTGAGATATTATTGTTCAGTTGATTTAAAATCATTTTCCCGGAATTTGTGTCATTTTGTGCTATCAATTGCCGGACTCTGAGAGGTTCTGGTGCTGAGGTAAATGTGGATATATGTATGTTAGTAATCTGTGAGCGTTTAGGATGCCTTAACTTACCGTATAACACTGTCAGAACGCCAGCCCACACTCGTGTGACGCTAGCCCACACTCGTAGGATGCCAGCCCACACTCGTGTGACGCTAGCTCACACTCGTGAGACGCTAGCCCACACTCGTTTTTGACAGGCCATACTAGGGGTAGCTGGTCCGTGCTTGGTATTGCATTTGTGCTGTGTATATCCAATATGGTCTCTATTTTGTCATAGCCACCAAGTTTTTATGTATTAACGTTTATAAAGTGGTAAAATAGTTGGTTAACCCCTTGACGTCAGACTGAGTGTGGGCTGAGCGAGTGTGGGCTGGGGTAACTTTGGTACTTTGAGCATCGATACCTTACCTGAAATCATTGATGCTTTGAGTTACCCGGCGTGTATTTCAACCCTTTGACAAGTATTCGCGGCCCGTTATGCCAGAATGCCCATTATACGGTACCTGTACACTACAAAATAAACCTATCTGAGCTGAATACAGTACCGGTACAGTATCAGCAAACTAATATAGGACATCTTTCTCTTTCTCATGTGACACCAATGGAGTCACGTGATCAAATAAGCTGATGCTATCGATGACTTCACAACACCAGAAGCGCAGATCAATGAATGTCTCCCCCGGCACCGATTTCCTTTTTCACTTCTGTAACAATGACCAAGAAGTCAACGATGACGTAAAAACTGCACATTTTGCAGCCGCTCAGGCACTTCGCCCAGACAGATATTCGGACATGGTGTCAAAATTACTTTGTTTTCGCGGTTAGGCGTGTGATTTGTCAGTTTTCAGTTGTGTTTCCAGAAAATTAGTTGTAAATGAAGTATTTTAATTGCCAATGTATTTTACAATGAGATTTAGTTAAGTTGCAATACATATGATATGACGTACTCGGCAGTGTGGCGCATCGTGCTATGCGTCAGGAATACGATCGCAGATATATACGTAACTTTTGTATTTCAAATATTAACACCGCTTCAGCTTATCACTGATTGAGAGAGAGAGAGTTTATTTCATTTTGCATGTCCCATTAACTAACTGTTCACATGTGAACATTTGTGAAGTGTCATGAATATAATATAAGCTTGGCATATCAACTTTATAAAATAAAAAATGAAGAATGTAGCATCTTATAATATGTTTTGAGACACTTTGAATATGAACATTCAATAATAGTTATCAAATATAAAAATAAAGAGCACATGATGCCGGGGAAATATCATGAATGCAATATAAGATGAAATTTTGATTTCAGAGTAGCAAAGTACAACACGCAATATGTACGATTGGTGAGTATAGTGAAAGATTGCAAACATAAAAAAAAAGGAATTTTAAAAATCACAATGAGAAAACAACAACAATTCACTGCGAATGCACAAGTAAAGCATATTGGAATTGCAAGTGTATATGGATTTAAGGATGCAGACACAGTATATATATATTAACACCCGACTACGTTAGAACCAAATAGATAAATATCTAACTATTAAATGAATATTCCAGTTGCATCAAAAATTGTTATATATCAACTTCTTGGCTTAAATCAACTAAACAAAATTCTGTACCAACAGAGAATCCACCATGCAGCCGATATTGGAAAACACAATCAACAAAATATATTAATATTTTTCCTATTACACAGTTCGAACGGAACAATTGCAGTGATATTCTGATTTGCAGATGTCGAATACAGAAAACTCTTCTATCTCATCGCAACACTGGCTGGCTCTACTTATTTTCTGGAATCACAAGATTGATGGAAATGTTTTTATCAGTAAAATCCCTTTTATTACTGATAATTTTCAATTACTTTTTACCTACAATTGTGGAACAGTTTTTTCAAAATTGGAATAAGTGAATTGTGCCTCTGGCTCTTGCATTCACTAATGTCTGCCTTTCTGCACAATAAGACAGGGCGCTGAAAGAAAGTTAGTTACTGAAAAAATAATAATAAAGATGTTGATGGGTATATAATGGCTGAAGAATTTGAAGATCTGAAAACTTTCCTTCAATCTAGAATTAAGCCTTATGCCCCGTTTGAACACCTGATAGAAAACAATATATTTACAACTAATGTTTTCATTGCATTGAGGATTTATTGAACGATGCCAATAACTGCTGCATCAGGCAGGCATATCATACATTGCGAAATGGATAACCGCCGCCTGCTACCAGGTCATGACGATCACGTGAACCACTCCACGGCGGTGAGGTGATATTTATACCCCACGCGATTCGAACTCGCACAAGAAAAGAAATCAGAGGTGCGATGGCAGCATCCATATCGTTAACATTGATAATGGCAGGCGTATCCTACCTCGCGCTTACCACGCTACGCGATAACCGCCACGATATGTAAAAAACTTTTGAAAGAACCGTACGTGCGTCGCCATATCGATGGTCGCACGTACCTTGTTCTCGGGGCTGCGCGCTGCCACACATATATATATCAGCTTTAATCAAATTTTTTTTTATGGCAATATTGCGAGAATTTGCTCAAATCGAGGTCACGCGCACTTAGAAGGAAAGATGACTCGCAAACGAGAAAAGTTAGGTACATTACAGGCAAGTAAATGCCAATTGACCTGGGTTTGAAGCTATTTATCTATGAAAAACAAAACGAATTTGTTGACCCTATAGAAAACATGGATTGTCAAATTTTCAGCAGCGTTTGTGCTACGCGAATGGCCAAAGTTGGGAAATTACCGAATTCGGACTTAAGTTGGTTAAATATAGATAATATGGACCACTTTGTCTTGATTATGTGCCTGCTTACCAACATGCACAAAGTTATTACTGGATAATATCAGATGAAAGAGAATTTTATTTCATAAGCAAACATCAACACTAAAGAAAAAAATTAAGTATAATATTAAATTCAAAAAACAAAGTTAATATTGTTCCTGTCTGCAGAAGCTATAAAATAAATTATTCCGGACTCATCATCTCATACAAAAATGACAATAAACGATAAATTGACGAAAGTGTTCTAGTATCTCAACTCATTTGTTTTCACATTTGAAATATACGTACAGACTGCAGATATGGGCTGTACTAGGGTATTGTGTATTGAACTGCAGGTCCTTTCTCCTTGTTTACTGTCTATTCCGGATCCGTATGTGGCGGTTGCCACAAGGATGCGTGACTGAGATAGTATTATGAAGATAAATAAAAATAAAAACAAGAGAGATATGCTCAAATATATGGACACGTAGCGCCACCCAATGGCAATAATTTTGATGACGTCATAGCGAGAAAAAAAAAGTAATAGCCTTCTGGAGAAAATTTTTATCTTTAACCACTGAAAATTTCAAAGCAATTGGTAGAAAAGCGATTTTTTAATGATAATGACAAAAGAAAATAACAATAACAACAAAATTTTGAAACGATCGTTATGGCCACTAAACGTGTCCAATAACATAATCTCTTTCCACGAAATATCAAGTATATACTCAGGAATAACTGATAAAAATTTATACCATACAATACAATAATATATAGAAAAGATTGGAAAATTGTTCCAAAGAACTCGAGTTATGTGTAATTCACTATATCACAGACAGCATAAACACATAGCGAACCAAGGCCTCTAGCCTAGCCTATATCAGGTATGAAATGAGCAGTTTAATTTATTATACTTCCTTCGAGCAAATGGCTGAGTCCATATCCATAGTACAGTCCAATTATTTTAGCAAATAATGCAGGGCTACAACAAAATGTAATCAGATGGAAAGCATTGACACATATAATAACGAATTTGGAAATATTTTATGACACATGAAAAGTATACTAAATAAAGGCACTTTAGTTACATAAGCTTGTATTGTAAAGCAGCATATGAACATAAAAAGTTGGTGTGGGACTTTGAAATATCATTATTACTCCCAAATATAAATTATCTGAAGGCAGAAGCAGAATATATTGGCACGAGAATTACTATTTTATTTGAAAATTGTAATAGCTGTGTTCTTTGGTATCATGTTTGAGTTTCCCATATAACTAGGCACCCACAATCATATACTATGATTTTGAATTGATCATTTGGTCTAATAAGGAGATCAAACAGCTTCATGAATGAGATAAAGTAATACAGAATAATATGAAAGTTATATTAATCATATACAGCCTTCTGCTGGAATTCCAATTTTTTGTTGCAACTTTCTTGTATTTCGTCTAAACATACGTTCCATTTCTTGTACGTGATGAAGAGCATCTGTCACATCTCCAAATGACTGCTGGTCTCTCTCATCAGGAAAAAAGTTTCGTGATATGGCTCCAACTTTCCCATAAGTTGGACTTTTTGAGGATATATTTACAGAAATTGGGTTATCTTTACTACCATTATTGATATATGCTTCTAATGAAACATCCATCAGTTTATTTTCTGGACTAGATACTGGTGATTGTTGACCATGATGTGTGCGTATGATTGTATCATATTCAATATCCTGAAAAAGGGTTGATAGACGTGAATTATGTTCACATACTCAGCTTAGTATACACAAGATCATTGTCATTACTGAGATACCCTTAGTAGTTAACTTATTTCTCTTGCATCTGAAAAAGAGGCTTTCCAGGAGTATGTGTACCAATATGGAAGTAAATAATTTTGTTCACCTACTTCACATCAAGTTGTGTAAAGGAACGGAAGCCTATGGGCAGAGGGTAACAAACAGTCCCTGTACTTGTAATAGAACCAAAATAAGGAAAATCAGAATAAAATTATGGCCTAACCTGGTACACATACATACTATGGGAGTACAGAAAAAGGTGATTCAAATAAATCATTAGTTCTAACTTCTAATGTACCATATCTAGAACTACGTAATTGAAAAATCAACATCTTTAGTTTTTAGTTGCTGCTGAATTGGATAAAACATGATTTATCAAGAAGTTTTATAACTTGTTTCACCTACCGAAACATGACGGAAAGCTGGCTTTGCTGTGTGAGGTCTTGGCTTTTTTTCTGTGGAAAAAAATACAAATACACTGAAAACAATCTCACACTCAAATAAAATTTAACAAACTGTTTAAATCACAATATTTGTTCAGGGTGAGAAGAATAATGCCTGCATACTTATTGCCTGAGATCTCAGATAATCTTGTCTTTGTTGCAGTGCTGCACTGAGAGGGCGAGGCTTTCTTTGAGGAATTACTCCATCAGGATCAAAGAGAACTCCTTGAAAATTTTTGTCATCAAATTTTCTCGGATGTGCTGCAACCTTGATGAACAAATTAAAATGTAATGTGAAAGTATTGTATAGGTTCCCACCTTTTTCAAAGCATCAGAAAGATAGTAATAAAATGATTGCATAAAGCAGTTGATTATTATTTTTTGCGCAAAAATGTTTTTGTTCAGTCTTTGACAAATTCAAGGAATACAGTAAAAGATGTGATGATTTACGGTATATTGGATGTTACTATGAAATTGTAATCTAAAAATCCTGCCTAGGCATATCATGTCATCGTCACTTTCCCAATTACTTATGTACCAGGAAAAAACATTTATCTATTCTAAGTGTTATAGAATCTTTAAAAGGAAAAGAGATTGTGTACACCTTAGGCTTTGTGTAAAACATATGTCACCCAAGAAAATGTCATAAAAACAATTTAAAAGAATACACCTTATGTAAGGGCAGTATTTTTATACTTGTGAAATTTGTTCATATAGTATGTTACAACTCAAGTACTGATTACGCTGTTCTTGAATTGGCATTGGTTGTAAGAAAGTGTGGTTCACCATAATGAATCAATGATCGTTGATCACCCTTGTCATATCGTTTATTACTTTTTAACAAATCATTACTTTCATCAGCACATAGAATTACATATAATATAAATCGAATAAAATCTTACTTGATAATTCTGAGTTGCATTCATATTTATAGGCTGATTATATTTTGTTTCTTTTCGTGCTTCAGAAAACAATGGCAATACATCAGTTAAGTTAGACATTTTGAAATTATCTGTTTCATCCAAGAGATTTGGTTGTTGTTCAAATAAGGTTTTTCCAAGTGGATCGAAATTATTCCCGCTGAGTTCCATATTTGTTGTAGAAATGTTTTTTGTGGTATCAGTAAATCTTGCAGGTGTTTTTGAAGTAGCAGAACGCTGTAATGATAGAGTTTGATATTTTCTATGGTTATGACCACTCAATCTCAACTCAAGATTTGAACACAAGTTAGATTTTATATTCCTTTTTGAAACGAAAAGAGGCTAAATCAGGTGAAATAAAAATAAAAAAATAACATATAAGGCTTTTTCACATCAATCACTCCCAACCAGGTTCAGTGCAAACAGCCACTGATATCTCACGATATGTGAGGAGTTTTGAGAAACACTAGAATCTTTCCAGTTGGGCATTGTCTACCTAATTTATTACGTTCTGGTTAGCATGTGATGTCAACACGGACATGTCTAATCGTTAGGCCATCGCACCACAAAAAAAAGAATCTTTGCTATGTCACTGCATGTAAACATTAATCTTATAATAATTAATATTATGATTATTTTTTCCTTCAGCTGATTGAAATTCGCCTGATATCTTGCAAAATGTAACATAATTTTTTTGAAAAAAACATAAAACAATATTATTTTTGTGAGCTAGGTAAAAGGGGACCATCACATTATACCTGACTAGAAGGTCTGACTCTACTTCGATTTGCAGATTTGATACGTTTGCCAGATGATGGGCGTAAAACTTTTGTTGTTTTCTTAATGGAGGCATCAACTTGTAATTGTTCATCAAGCAAGGTCGATGTTAATTGAAGATACTCCTGTCCCAATTGTTCATTCTGAATTAGGATATGGTAACTAATATTTGGTGATAATGTCAAATTGTCAAGATCTATAGTTGTTATATAAAGACTGATAATTTATAGGTAGAGAAACAGACAGAAAATAGCCATCAAATCAAAAACTGAGTGGAAAAAATATTGTTTATATTTGAAAAAAATCATATATGTTATGTTGAAATGTTTAGCAAAATAGCCCGTTATTGGGACACATTAAATAACTCAATTTAAAAAAAGGAAATTATATAGCCTACCTATATATGCACTTCAAATAAAAAATGCAAATACTGCCTAACTTCAGATTCTTACTTCGCTATCACGTTTCCTCGGTGATGGAATAATTTTAGGGGATGGAATTCCGACAATTTCAGATATTTTATTGATTGATTCATTCTCACCTTCCCAAGCCCTGAAAAAAAAATGATTCATATAATATAATGTTAAACTTGAAATGACATACCAGCAATTAATTTGAAAAGAGTTGAGTATTTAAATCAAGGAAATATGTGAGGAAATTGACTTGAATGTACTATTTTACTCTCATAAATATGGCAACATATTTAACTGTGCTAAACTTATAAATATCCTAGTTTCGGTTACATAAAATTGGAATATTAAGTAAAGTTGAGTATAATATGTCTTTGTTTACAATCAACTCCTGACTCAGGGTTGAAAGCATAGATGGTAAAGTAAAGACTGTTCAAAACACTTGGCCGGCAAGTTGATTTAAGTTCAAGTCAGAAATTGTTTTTTCACAATATTTAACAGAAAGTTAAAACATCTTTATAAGCTGTCTCTGAAGTTTGAATACATATTATGAAGTAGTCAATTCAAATTTTTATCGGAATACTTAAAATTTATCAATTGTTTTGCATGAATTAATGATTTCGTACAAAATATTAATTAAAGTTGAAAGCTTGGCATATGGATAAAACTACACAGGATCGAAACGACATACTTGAAACTTCTTATACTTCATTCAAGTACACTTGAATTGTAATTATCTTTATATTTGATCAGCTTTTATCAAATCTACAATAGGAGGTGGAACAATAACTACTTTTATTCATGACAATGCAGAAAGAAGTTGTGCTTCCCATATCACAGATAAATCAGAAACAAAATTTTGTCGGATATGCAGTCAAAAGCACCCCCCTACCACTCAAGTATTGCCGTATACATTTATAAATACCAATTAAATTCTTTTATTAATTAGTTCTTGTTACATGAAACTATCATCAATTTTCTGCATAGTGCATCACTGTGGAACAACAAACTGATATAGCTTTTCTAGGTCGAAAAACACCGATAATATAAAGTTGTGTTAATCCTGAATAAAGGAATGATAACGTTATATGTTCACTTGTTGTAGTGTTCGCTGATGGATCCCTGCATTGCACTGAATCCTAAAATCTGTTTTTAAGACGAACAAATGCCAAAAGATATGATAAAACCAATAAAAAATATTCATGATACGTTTTCGATTTCAAAATCTCATACAAATTGCAGAATTGCAAAAATTTGCCTTCTAATCAACAAGATTAAACAGTCCAACTTTTCTGCCAAACGCTGTCTTTCTCGTTTATTCAAAACAAGTTCACTCTTGATATCTTCCACAATCCTTCGTTCCAATTCCTCCATCGCAGATCAAAGGTATAAGAAAAAATAACGTGATAATGATAACCAATTCCACATAAGAATTTGACTGCAAGCGCGATTTGTGTTGTTTTTGAAAATAGCGTCTCATCTCCAATAGCAGCCAGGCAATGTCCAATGCACAGTAGTGCTCAATGGCGGCATCTGACGATACAACTCATGAAACAGTTTACGGTTCAGATTTTATTTAACGTCCATTTTGTTGAAATTTGACTAAAAATGACTATTTTTTAGAACTTCGAGAATTCCATGTCATTGATTAGACAGAAAAAAAGTTCCTGACACATCTGGAGAAAAATACCCTCTGGCAGAGGCAGTGGTAAATACGGTACATCTGTAGCCCAACACGACGTCATTTCTGAATTATGCTACGCACAGCTTACATACCGCTATGTTACTGACTATTGGGATATGGAAATGTAAATTACTAAGTTCGGCAACGACTAAGGTTCGGGGATACAGATGTAATCGATATTTCCAACAATGATATACGTGAATATAATTGGGAATTAGGTGCGGTAATGTCAAAATAAAAAATGTATAGGTGACTGAAAAACTAAACTCAAAATTGGGTCATTTGAGAAAAAAAATTTTTTGGGTGTATGTGACATCATAAATATGTCTATTTTAGTTGTGTGTAATATATAGTACGAGTTATGAATCAAATGATACGTGGTATTAACCAAAACAGTACAACTAAATTAAGCTTTGCTATTTGTGAATCCAGCAGAAAATTTCAACCGATTTTGACCAAGTTCTAGCTGTAAACAAACGCAACTCGTCGTTTAGAACAAAATTGAATTTTTAGTCAATACTTGAAAGTCCATGATTAATGAAGTTCGCTTGTCTTTTATCTGTAAGGATATTCAAAGAACAATGTGTATCAGAACAATCCTAAAACAGTCGGTGAACTGAGGGCTGCAATTGCAGGAAAATCACCATAGATGAGTGTGTGCGAGTGATCGACAATTTTGCGTAACGGATGCAAGTCTGTCTCCAATGGTGAGGAGGACATTTGGAACCTATCGTAGACTTATAGAGAGAACGTAATTGTGAAAAACGTCCTAGATTCATGGAACTCTGGGATGCAATCAAGCACAAACAGAATTGGTGGAACAGAACAGAAGTGGTAACAAAATCAAACAATTTACTCTAGTTTCACTGAAGTAATTGAGATATTGATGGGTTCTGTTTTTTGGGGTCCCCTGTATTTATACGGCTTAATATTTGTCCAAGGATAGTTTACTAGACTAGAAGGTTTCAGGATTGTATTATGTATATGGTCGAAAACAATCAGATGAATATTTTATAACCTCTACTTATTTTTGTTTGCGTTGAAGGGTAATACAGTGCTTCCCAACGTTTTTCGTTAAATTCCTCTCTTCGCCTATTTTGGAATTCTTTATTCCTTCCTCACTAGGCATAAAACTACTTTATGTATTTCATCTTCAATGAATCTTCTGTGGAAGCACTACATTTGAACCCATACATTTCCACCCGTATATCCGCGGGTTCAGGTTCCATTACATTTGAACCCACGTACATTTGAACCCATGACAATTGCACCTGTATGCTATTGCACCTGCCACCTATAGATTTTTTTTTGTTTCACGGATAGTTAAACCCATACTAACCCTAACCCATGGGTTTTAGCACCCGCATATAGATTGAACCCGTGGATATACGCATGGGTTCAAATGTACGTGGGTTCAAATGTACGGTCACCGCGGGTTCAATCTATATGCGGGTGATAAAATCCATGGGTTAGGGTTAGTATGGGTTCCAATATCCGTAGGTGAAAATTCCAAATGTACGTGGGCGTAAAATGTAATGGAACCGAATCTTCAGCTAGTTTTATACACAAGTCGCCCTCCCACTTCTATAATGACAAGCTTGCTGTTAAACATTTATTGCCATGCGCCAACCAAATTTTTGCTGTTCATTTTTATAGTATTTTTGCGAATTGGCGCTTACAAACTGGTGTGCATATTCAAAGCCATCATTTTGATTTCAAAAATTTAGGATAGATACCATCAAAAGGTACTAATAGCTAATTTTTGCCTAGTGTATCTCAGATTTTTCTTAATTTATTTTTGATTTCCCAACCATATATATATATATACTAAAAATCCTAACAAAACACGAGAACCATGGAGTTATTAGGTTTCCAAAAAAAATCTTTAAACCGACGAATAGACAGCAGACTCAAGAATACGAGCCAACCTTTACAACCATAATTGAAAGTATTCCATCGCGTTTAAGCGTCTTCAAAAATCTCTGGTTCTTCCACATCACTGGCGCTTTTCTATACCACTTTATATTCAGTGTAAAGTAGTGAAAATACCCCATAATATTTCGATTGCGTTTGAATTGGCCACCTCCTCGCCCAGGGTGTGATAAATTGGTTAGGCAAGGCCGAACCGGATTAAAGTTCCTGTTCTCCCAAATATAGTAGCTCGTCACATGTCGTTAAATATCAATTTAGGCTTGTGGCTTTGTTCTGAACAAAGGACTTGAATCGGCGTAGTATTAAAAATAGTTGTTCGCTCATTTGTGGCAGGGATGGCTTATTGAAAAAAGAGTTTAACCTAACTATATAGCATCGAAATATCTAAACCAGACCTCACCAGTGCCATCATCGCACTGCACGGTTCTTCCAAAAAACTCTTTACGCATCAGAAGTTCCTTTTATTTTTCGAGTATATAGTATTTAAGCACTTCTAAAAACTGAATTGCAAACGAGGATCATACGGGTACGCGAAGGACTTGTGGGGTGCGCGTAGATTTAACAATGTTGTCATCACAGGCTGAAGGCAGACCCAATTTGCATCGATATACATCGATTTTACGATCTGATTCTGATAAAACAAGTGATTGAATGTTGTCTAGGAAACTGCGACTCGCATGTTGCACAATTAGACTCGCTATTCGTGGTTTATAAACAGACTGTTCCCAACACGTCTTATGTTTCGAACACCCATCATTTCACAACAATTTGTTCCAGAGAAGTATAGAATGATTCATAATCTTTACTATTAGAGTTTGAAGTATATTTTCCAACTGTGATGTATACATACTACACGACAATGATCGTAGTAATATGGCTCACACGAGAAAACAAAAATAATGCTTACGTTCCAAGCGCAATCATTTATTTTTTATAGTTTCATAACACAATATAATTTTCCTGGGGTGACTCGCACAGTTATTAATCGATGAATGTGAAAAATATTGAGCACCCTTGTCTTGAGGTACAACGATTACAGGGCTTTGGATTTGCATAATTTTACTAGCACCAGCCATATTAAAGGCTTGAGTAATATTTATTGAAGATTGGACTTAACTTGAGACAATTAAAAAACCACGATGTGTCGGTTTGGCTGAAGTCGATTTAGTAAAATTGCCTAATCTGATACGTGCCATAGATAAATTGATCTTAGTCATGGGTTCTAGAACGACTTGGTAGTTTCTTTTGCTGATTGTCTTATTCATGTATGTTTTTGTGAATTCTCTGATCTGGTAAATTAAAAATTATTTTACCATGACCCCATCCTAAAGTCACGTGAGTCCACTTTATTCGAGTCACCAGGTTAATGGACATGGAGCGTGATCATGCTCAACATAGAAGGCCGGTGTTCAAGTAATTGTTCAAAGGATTACTTTGTCAGTGGTGAATAATTCTCTAAAAGTTTTTCTAATATTCCTTTATCACCTATTTTGTATTACGATTATCGATCATAATCTTGACCTGTCAATACGATAAGAATAATTCTCGGTAATGTTGACGTACGTGATTTACGTTGAATGCGTAATACATCGATATCGTTACTTATATGATTAATAAATAAAAAAATTCAAATTAACTAATTTGTGCCTAATTAGTTTCTCTGGGATCTATGAACTTGAGCTTTTTAAGGCGCTGTTAATGAAGCTACAAAGGAGTCCTACGAGACGGTGTTAAACTCACTGGATTACAAGATTAACTAGATTGTCACGACTTAAATATGAACATTGATTTACAGTGCAGATCCTAAAAATTGAATACCTCCAAATTCTCCAAATATAAACCATTGATAACACGAGCTTAGCAGCGACGCTCTTGTACAATTTCACACTTAAAGACGAGGTCTTAAATTGGGCTGTGGCCTCGCTATATCAAAAATCTTTTGTTAACAAATTGATCCCCCTGTGTCTAATTTAATTTACATTTTGACGTGTGGAGCGAGATGCGTTTTTGACCATCAATTTGCTATATCAAAACGCAATGTGGCAAGACTTGACGCGCTTGTTATTAGCCGATTATTGGGCCAGGTCCGTAACCAAGTAATTTTCCGCGCCAAGTGCCCCTTGTTTTACGCCTCGTCGAACTCGCAACATTTCAATTATCAACAATGGCAACATGCTGCTTCGACACATCCGCACTCCTAAAAAGTTTGACATATTTAGGCTTATTTTATTTCGCTTACAAATGCAAGGCCCTAGTGACCCAAATTAGCGGGATTCAATTTCAGCTGCCCTGACTTTACATTCTCACAACGTGTGTTTTTTGCATTTTTCCATTAGGCGCTTTGTTCTATCTCAAAATCCGAAAGATTCCAAACGAAAGCTCAACGTTAATCTTCGGAGGAGTCTGTTTATATAAAATATAGTGATTGAAGACCATATTACTGATCTTCTGTTATCATCAGATGCTGCAGTCCTAATAAATGCCATATCACTTTTGGTCTGTAGTCACATGTACATAAAAACATGCCAAGATATGGTTTTTAACATACGTAAATGATGAACATACATATAAATGATAGAATGCTATTCTTTCTCTTCACGGGCTTTATGAGATTCAACAGTCCTAAATGATGTTCTGTAAACAACGCGTTTTGGACCTAAATGTAAAAGTGAAAATAATGTTTGTGTTGTGAGATTACATTATAACGGAACTCATCCAATTAAATCTAATTCATCCAAAACCGCATTCTCATGAGAATGTTGAGATGAATATAAAATGTATTACGAATTGTTTTTTTGTTCGAAACCCAACTACTTATTAATAATCACCAAAATATTCGAAGCTGAAAAGTTCGGAGACTTCCGCTTCCGTTTCCACTCTTTCAAGTGGAAAAGACAATGAAACTATCGATCATAAATAAAATTAAATAGGTTCTGTGTCAAATTAAGGTCGCGTAAATGCGCCAACATGCAGAGAAATATGGCGCAACCGACGTCGGTCGCTCAACGCGGCATATAGGCGTCATTAAATACGTCAAGCTGGGAAGATTATGTTAATGCTGTTTTATAACATATTCAATCGATAAAGGAGCAGAAACAATGTATTAGATATACAAATTATGTAACGAATTCTGTAATGCTTTTTTATGAATTCAACATAATTATATGCGTTTTAGTGTCAAAACTGGAGATGGATCATCGGATTTCCAACGATTAAAACACGTCACAATGGCGCAAACCATTCACCTACCATACACACTGTTTGCATAATTTTTACGTTAGATCCTTCTGCTAGTTGATTACAATTTTGATTAAAATATAATTGTGTATCAATTTACAAATTCTATAAATATTGAAGTTGCTGAATATTATTTTACTCACTTAATTAAAAGGTAAAATTCAATTTTTTATTCCGATCTCAGTCGTCATAAAATACTTGCATACCCTGCACGCAACTTTGCTTGCATGCATTAGACCTGAGATTTATGTAATACACATTCATAAATATTATGTTGGCAAAGATGATGACACTAACCGAACAGATCAATTTATAAGTCTGTTATATGAGTTATGGTTTTTAAGAATAGTAATACTCGGATGCTCATGTTTGGATAGATTAATTATTTGTTGTTCGTGTAGCAAAATCACAATCGTTAAGGTGACAATTTTAAAAATTATTTTATCAAATACTGTTAGAAATAAATTTAATTTCACGCGTTGATCCCTCAATTTGCCAAATAGAGAGAATAGTTTGCTGGATTATAAGACATCAAAACATATTGAAACCACATATTTAAGACGCCGAAATACACAATTTCAATAGGGTGGCAGTCTTTATGGTTTATTGTCCCCACTTCGTTCGGCTAATAAGTTTAGCCGGGATAAATGCAGCGGATAACCGGTAGGAGACTTTTATCGATTGACTCCGATTTTCCGGTATTCTCGCACTTTTCCCGTCCGATTGTAACTAATTCGATTTGATCGCATTTCACTGTGTAATTGGCTCGCGTAACAGAAGTATCAGCAGGCCCGCGGTGTAAAGAAAAATAGCCCTCGGACATGCCCGAATACATATGATTCATACTTGGTCCAATTTAATAGAAGCGGACACTGAATGTGTTTTAGGCGTGTTTGTCTATAACTGGTTTAATAGTTGGTTGATGTAACTTCAAACTTTAGTATAATGTGCCTAAACTTAATTTAAGCGGTACGTACAGATGTTTGCGTTTCTCTGATTTCCAGTTAAAACACCAATTTAACACTTTTACTTGATGTTATAATCAAATTTAAAAAACTTTGAAGGCCTAAACATGTTGAAAGCGACTCAACAAATTTTACAAGCAACGTCAAAAAACTTTGGCAATGTTCGTACGATCAAACAACAACGATTCTAAATATCTACAATGCGATTATTGTATTTCATAATAAAATACAATAAGTTTGCTTCAATTTATACTAATTATCCCATAAGGCAGATGGAAAATTGCCTTACATCAAACGACGCCTCAGTGGTGCAAGGAATTATTCTGCTAGCTCCTTTTATTTTGGCAGTCCCGGACTAACGTTAAATGTTTATTACTTATTTTCAACAAATTTATTGAATAGATAACTGAAGCACTTTGATAACTGTGACTATATATAATTGAATAACTCCATGGTATTGAGGTGAGGATAAAATATGTTTTTGTAATCTACGAAAATTTCCATGTATGTTTTACATTCGGCAAAGAAAATTAATTTCTGAATGTCAGATGCTGACAGAGCTTAAGATTGAAATCGAACTGATTCTCTCGATTTCGAATTTTGTTAATTCAAGCGAGGCAGACAACAAATTGGCATCAATCAATCGATGAAATAACACCACGCATTAAACATATTTTCTTCTCTCGCTCCTGCTCTGGTATATAAAAGCGAGCAATCCTCCGTAGATGCCAGTTTAAAGATCTCCGCTTCTTGAAACGTTCACGCTTACAGAGTGAGACAAGGAAATAATGGAAGTACAAACATCTTGGAATCACCACGAAAGTCAGACTTTTTGTGATGAAACAAATTTGCAAGGTACGGAATTCTGCGACTTGAACTTTCAAGCTAGTTCAAAGAGTTGAGAAATACAATTTGCATGTACACGAATAAGTTTTTATGAAGCTGGCTTGTATTTTTAAATCGCCTGATTATTGATGAGATGCAGTAGTAAGGAACAACACTGATATTACACAAGAAGGAATATCAATGAGACGCATTCTAAGTTTTTGAATTTTCTCAGAAATAAATGGGTTGTGCAAATATCTACCTACCTGGTATGTATGAATGGTTAAGAACGCCGTAAAACGCTTGTCATATTTTCTGAGGAATATTGTCGTATGCTTCTCATTACGTTTTAGGTAGCTGGCGGCGCTGAGGACTATATAGTGTTATTTATATTATTTTACCTATTTGTTAAATAGGAAAACCATCTTGCTATGAACCATTGACCCCGCCAGCATCAAGAACTTCTGGGAGCAGTAGCAGTGAAGATGAAGAATTCAAGTTTATATATAATTTGAATCAACTTCCAACGCAAAACGGAGAAACTATCAATTCTTCTTCCACGACAAATAGAAGACAAAAACCCGTCGGCTTGTTAAAGGTTCGTTTTAAACATGAATGCTTGTGCAATACATATTTAGAATAAACTTAGAAAATTTTTTAGTTCAAAGTTAATATTTTTCGATTGATCTGAATCTATATATTTATTAGTCAAAGGACTATATATTCTTTCATACGTGTGTTTTTTTATTTTTTTATTTGAGAACTGTGAAATCTCGACATACATAAGATTCAAGCTTAAATTTTTTATTAGATGGCTAAAAAGATGAAAAATATGAACGAAAACGAACTTCAGGATTTAAGAATTAAAATCAACGAACGTGAAAGACGAAGAATGCATGATTTGAACAGTGCACTTGACTCATTACGAGAGGTAAGATATTAAAATAAAAAAATCGTTTTTATAAAAACATATTTCTTGTTCATTTTGAAGTTATTTGTAAATATTATTTGTTAATTTTTGTAATGTATTTTTTTCCGAATCGGCTTCATACAGAATCTTTACGTTCACCATAGGCCCCAAGGCAATGTTGATCATACTCTATTCCCGCCAAAAAACGTCAAAAGTGTAAAAACACTAACGTTTTAGCGTTAGATCCTAGCGGATTACAATTTCCCAATGTTTTGAACCAAAGGGCTGTCATTAAATATAACGTCTTTTATTTGTAGGTGATGCCGTATGGACACGGCCCCGCTGTAAGAAAATTATCAAAAATTGCAACCATGCTTCTTGCAAAGAATTATATCTTGACATTAAAAGGATCTCTTGAAGAGATGCAAAGAATTGCTTCTGATCTATATCGGCAAGTACCCAACGTTCATCAAGGTACGTTCTTATTTTATGATACCTATTTTTTGTAACAAAAAAATGTAAGATCCCTGCTCAGTATACTGCTTGGAGTACAAAATGCGTTATGCATATCAGCGTACTCTAAATTCGGAAAATCCGAACAAGTTCATATTTGAAGCCATAACGTTGGTCCCAATCAAAACAGCACATAATAAAATAGTTTAAATAAATATTTCCTGTCGTAATATAATCGAATTTATTATTTTTTTGTTTGTAATATATTTTTTGTTCTTTACAGTTGGTGGCAAAGACTTGAAACGCCTTAACATTGAAACGTCCTCTTTGCTTGGAAAAGAAAGCCAGGCAGTATCTTCAGCGACAAATAATACTTTACCAATACATGTTTCATCAAAAATGAATGAAAAAGCGTCAAGGACCAAACCACAAGAATATATGTTTCCAACTTTAAATTGTCCGACATCTTTACTACGACAATCTTCAATTCCTTTGGAATACGAGAGAATCCCAACATATTTGCCGTCAACACCACCTGTCTCGAATTGCTTTTCTTTTTTACCATTTCAGTTCTCTCTCCCACTGCACAGTCAAGTTTCCCCAACTTTAGCGTCGCATAATCACTTGTCTGGATCGAGAAAAAGATCAAGTGAGGAGAAATTGCCAGTGCCGGACAAACGGCAGCGTTTTAATGAATCATTAAAACTGAAAGTAGATTTTTCTAATGTTGATAGTTTGCATTAAATTTGCAGCAGTGCTTTTTTTTCATTTAAAAATAAATATTACATAACATAACATTGATTGCATTTTTTGAAAAACAATCGGTAGATCAGTATTTATTTGATTCGATTGAGGAAGGGCAGTAGGTACTAGGGTTCGGAAAACTGTTAAAACCCTAGCTTGCAACAAACTGTAATCATATGCGTACACACAACAAGATTCTTTGAAAGAGTTTTGAAGTATAGTATGTCGTCACTGATTACTAATTTGAGTATGACTTCATAGCCGACAGCCGCCCGACAGTCGTCAAAATTGGTTTTGTGTCTTGTTCAAAACACTGAATTAAAATGAAACGATATGGCTGACAGATAGTATACAAAAGCTTGACTAAAATTTCTAATTGTGACTATTGCGAAAGATGATGGTAATCTGTTGTAACCTTTTGTAAAGTTTTAAGAAGTTTCAGCAGGTTTCCACAGTTCTAGACTAGCTGACACATTCTTTACTTTAATTCTCTATTTTGGGTATTTCCAGTGCTTTACTTGCAGATGCGTTGTGTTTAGGAAAAATAACTTGCAACTAATGAAAACGCGATGAATTATCGAAGTTCATTTTCCACAAAATATTATCTATTTTCTAACATTCATAGCAAAGCTTTAAGCGCTATTTGATGAACAATTTAGATGAATATGCTACAATATTTTATGTACGGTTTGCCAATTTATCCTCTAACTATGATGTTACGTTTCTACGATCAGTGTTTTTTTTGAAACGTTGTCGTAAATTCAACAGATGCTTACGTTCCATGAAAACAGCAAGGAAACAAGCGTGGATGTAAATGTATAGTCTGTATCTATATAGTCTATTTCCTTCGCTTATCGCACGTCTGCTCATTGCTCATATATATATCTGCTTCTTGCTGATTTATGTTTAGCTTTTTATTTTATCGATCTTCTTCGATTCAATCCAAAATGAAAACAAAAGTAATAAACCACGACGGGAAAGTGAATATTTATCTACGATAATAAAACACCGATTATATATAAATTTTGTAATATATGGTTAAACTTACAATGAAGGATATTTTTAAATTGTTGGAATGATGGACTATCTAGACTTTGAATATGGAAATTTTTGTTTATTGTTAATGATAAGTCGAAATTATTGAATGAATGACCAAGAAATCTATATTTTTCAACTCTTTATACGCTGGCGTATTTTCCAGAAAATTTGATAGAAATAGAATAATGCTATGAATTACTAGAAAAAATAAGAGTTGTGCTAATAAGACTAAATATATCTAGTGCACATTATTCCAACAAATTCATCTTCCAAAAACATCAAATTTTTCTATGTCTTTCATAATATACATATTTCTCAGCAATTTTGGGAATACGCGCTTTCAATGACTTAAATACATGTATCTAAGTTACTGTAAAGCTTTAAAAATTATCTACGTGTCAAACTTAAAAACAACTTACTTCAAAAACAAACTTAACTAAGTGAGTTCATATTACAATGCTCGTATAAATTATGAAGTGCTAGTTTTGATATAACGCTAATTTTGCTGAAATAGTTTGTCTTTAACGATTCATGCAACTGATCACGCTTGGGCATTGTAATTTGCTCCTCCAGCTTTTCTAACTTTTTCTATTATTTCTTCAAGAGGATCCGGCTCTCCGTCCATAAAATGATTCACCGCCACATCCTTTGCAAAAAATAGATATTTTAAATTGACTTATCAAAATATTTTTGTATTCTCCCGATTATGATGTGTTAATGCATGGCGATCAGAAAAAGGATCAGATGTTTGGTAGATATACCTGTTTTTCACTACGAAGTAACAATAAATTGTATTTAATAGAAAAGTAAGATATCAATTATCTGGATTATTTGTACTTTGAAAAATGGGATTATGATGCGTTGAAAATCATACTGAATTCGAAATGTAATTTAAACAACTAGATGGCTAGTGTTCAACTATATAAAACGAAATGCTTGCGTAACTTTATTTATACTCAATTTGTTGAGCACAATTTGGCTCAAATCAATCTACTGCAAACCCGCCAGGGTTGTCTAATCTAAATCATCCATATCGTAGAGTAGAGTAAGCAACAGATCACAAAGTTTTGAGACAAAACTAAATTTATCTAGTAGAAAAAGGAAACTTACTGGACAAGTCGATTGCAAGCTTTTAGAATCGGTTGATACTCTGGCCTTGTTTAAAGGTTTTGCATCAGTTCCTATGAACGTTAAAAAGGCGAATTTCTGTCTTTTGGACATTTCATCACCTGTCTCAACACGAATGTAGGCAAAAACTCGGTCTTTGTCTGTGAAGTAGTTAACAAATATTACGATTACAAAAATTGTAAAGTATTGACTCAAAGAAGAAATGGGTCATACAATGTTCTGAATGCCTCAAACACGAAGAGCAACATTGTTTGTGAAAAACTCTTGTCTATTCATTCTAGACCACTGGTACTCAACCAGTGGGTCATGGCCCACTTCTGGGCCACAGAAACATTTTAAGGTGGGCCACAAACCTAATAAAAATTGCTGAAGTTATTGATAAATTAGGTTAAATTTGATTGTAGTAGCAATAAATGATTAGGCTGCTTTTGCTACTAAGTGATGATTCTCATTGTAATTATTTGAGTGAAGTGTCTATCTTTGCAAATAGAATTTTTTGTTTTTCAGGTAGTTTTTCGCTTGCAAATTTAATGGGCCACATAATATTCCGTGCAACAAAAGTGGGCGGCAAAAGAAAAAAAGTTGAGAACCACTGTACTAGACTATTACACACTGTGATGGAATGGTTATTTTGGTGGTTTTATATGCTTCATGGCGATCATAACATGACACGCCCATAGAAATCGGGTATTTATATTTTACGCCGTCATAAAAGTATCAACAAGCATTAAGTAGTACATAACAATGAAATCTTGTGTTAGTATAATTTTGTAAGAACAAAGAGGACCAATAAAGAATGAATAAAAGAATAAACAAATAAAAAATATACACCGAGAAATCAGCAAAATGAAAAAATTTAAGCAAGCAATTGATCCATTTTCTAGACTAAGTAACTTACTCTTTGTCATATGCTTTAATAGTTCTTCAATATCTTCCCCTTTCTGGTCGATAACGATGGTTTTTTCATCGTACACAAACGAAACCCTACAAAAGCAAAATCATGTTCAATAATCATTCCGGATGGATTCATTTTAAGAAAAGTTGCTCAATGCAAGGTCTCGTGCAACTCGCTCTGAAGTGTATGAATATTGAGTTAGATTAAAAATACTTGCGACCATGACTTCTGATTGAAGAGATAATAAAAGTACTCATGGAAATGTATTACGGGCCATCTTGGTTCACATACTTGGGGAGTACAATTTCTTAGACCATAGGTGTGTAAACTGCAGACAATGGGCCGAATCTGGCCCGCCAAGGAAAACTATACGACCCTATTTGAAATGTGTGACTAAAATTGTCTCATTATGTGTAGTACTTCAATGTGTAGATATATTTTTTTTTTGAATCTGTGACTGTCAGTCATGTTTTTTTTATTGTAATCGACGGGTTTGGTGTTGCATACCTCGAGAACAGTAATAATACCGGTAAACAGTTACAACAATAACGTGACACACTGTTTCATATGTTTGATACATTTGTACAAAGCATGCACGATGTGGGCAAATTATCGTCGTCAACTAAGTCTAAACTGTCTTGATTTTGATCTTCAATTTGAATTATTCGAATTTTGTGATCGAAACACTTGCTGTTCACTTGCAAAATGTAGTGCTTCTTGCTTCATTTAGGTTGTCACCGGACCTTCCCCGAACTTACAGGTCAGAAAGAACATCCAATATCCCATTGTGATTCATATTTTGTTTATAATTAACACACTCACTCGTGTACCTACAATATGTCATTTTAAATAAGTAATTCTGAATAAAAATTCTGTTCTGTCCGTCAAGAACATGATAAAATTGATGTTGGCCCGGCGTTAAATAGGTTGCCAACTCCGGGTCTAGACAGTAGACATATTTTGTCGATGAGAAAGAGTTTTCAATATAGGCAAATATTGGCAATAGAACGTAAATTTCTTCCGAAAAAAAAGGCACTTCAGAATTTAATTGTATTGATTACCGGGATCAGATTGAAATGATCCGATAAACCGTAGTTTTTAAAGGTAATATTTTACCGAAATATAACAAATTAATGGTGGGGCACCAAAATTATCAAGTGGAGTGACAATTGATTTCAAAACGTGTTTACGGTTCTTAACAATGGCAGTGTAAAACTAAACTGTAAAAAAATCAAAAAATTTACCAATTTGTTGAATTGTCGTCACATCTGACGATGTCGCACTCCGCATAAATTGTTTCTTCGTCATAGTTTTTCGCCATTTAATTGGATTATTTACTAACAATAATATAAAAAAGAACTATAATATTTTTTACTGAAAAATAAAATTTCAATTAAAAAATAAAATCTTTCACATACATAATGTTAATATTATGTATCAACTGATTTCTGGAATTAAAATGTATTTTAATGCTAAAATTATATAATACTTTTAGGATTTTTGTCGAGCAGCGACTAATGTCCTCATAGATATTATCACCATCTAACTAATCCGTATTTAGTCATTTTTATCAGCTTATTGATTTCAAATTAATAATCTCAGTTTATTTTTGAATTTACTTTCTGAGCATTTAATCGCCCAAGTCGAAATAATCTTTGCTGCTATTTACTAGCTCTAGTTTTATTAGCTGTCGTTTTGTCTTCCAAAAAGTAGATAGATTACTGGAGATGTAGTCTGCAGAGCCTAGAGCTGTACGTGGATGTAACTGTATCCTATATATGACAGAAGGTAAGTATAGGTTGGAGAAAGTTTTCGAGACAATTCGAGACCAAAATGTTATGGGAACAAGTTGGAGTAAAAGTTCTTGAAAATAAAACAACTTTTGGCACAGAATTTGCTTTAACAAGATAGAACAGGGGTGGGAAAAGGTTTTGGACCAGATGCCAAAAATGATGCCACCTGGCCATGTAAGTGTGCCGTGAAAAGTTTCATTTTTATGAACAATATTTACAGTGTTACACAAGTAAACGCGGAAAACAATAAGCCGTGTGCCAAAACTGAAATTTAATCGCAATCTCAACAAATTATTTGATCAAATTTTCAGCTAAAACATGAAATTTATTTTTAGTTGGGTTGTGGCAGCATCAGGCGGGCCAGATTGCAATACCTGACGGGCGGATTTGGCCCGCGGACCCATTTTAGAGATAGAACCAATACATCGACAAATAGCCGTTTGCCTTATCAAATAACAAAATCATTTTTTTTTTGTAGGAGCTAACTAGTGCGGTAAGTTCGTGGAAAGGATCGATCGCCTGCTCCAAAAGTCACAAATATCGATTGTAAATCTGAAAGCTCAAACAAAAAAGATAATGATAATGTATTTGAAAAATGGCAAAATGAGATTGGGTAAATGAATAAGAGGATTTTTACTGATTTTAAAATTTCATGCCACGTTCTACCAAACATGAATAAGAAACGATAACATAATTTTGGTTTGAATTTAGCTATGACAATACTGTTCTGTTTTTTTAAATTTTGATGCTTAGTTTTGAAGTGTTATCTTGGTAAGTCACTTGAATGATTTCATGCTCGATTGCTTCCTCGACTGCAACGTCTTATTTCCTGCCATATTTGTGTAGATGAACGTATGCATAACCTCGAAATGAATCATACAAAAACTTCGTAGTTTTTCACTTCGGTTTTGCAGTTATTGGTGTCAATGTTTGATCACTGAAAATCAGTCATTAATTGACACATTGAAACTGTGTTCACCTACACTGTTGCTGGGATGTTATTATTATGTTATTGTTGGTATTTTTCCTATTATCGATATGAAAAATCGCCTTTCCCATCGAGTGGTTAGGGATTGTATTTTTACTAGAAGGATATTACTTTTATTTATTTTAAATATATCTGTGGGCTATGTGTGTTTCGTTTTGTATGTGTGCGATGACGTCATCAAACATTGAGCACATTGTGGCGAAGCCGCGATCGCGTTCGTCGGGAACACTGCTGTACCGGTGATCTACCGTGCCAGAGTTCATACATGTAATACATTGTTTTGACTTCCGTGTCCATATATTTTATTTTAGCATGGCTCTCTTATTTTCAAATAGAATCGAACAGATAAGTTCAAAAATCAGTCAATTTTTCAGTGTTTGAAAAAGCATATATTACGTGAGCCAATTGCTACGATATTCGTAGACTTATGCCATGCATGGTTCCTTCAAACGCAGAAATATTTTAGTTACTTTTATACAAGAAAACTTCAACAAGATTCTCGTTAGTTTTTTATTGTTATAAATTCATGCGTTTCAATCCATAAATTATTCCGGACAAAAAATGGTATGCCAATGGTCAACCAAATTTGCGTTTGAGAACTCAGGCCAAATCAAGGAATGTTCTGGACAATAATATTGGGGCGGGCGACATTTTAACGTTTCTGGGATTCAGTAGTCAAATTGTATCAAATCATAGATGACATCTGCGTCTGTATAGCATATTCAAGTAACTACCTTAACATTATCATAGTTTGGCTGGATAATTACGTATTCAATACTGAACTTTATCACAGGGTTCATCGTTCACTGTGGCGATAGGCACCGCTTCACTGTCTGTACGTCTTATTTGCACAAATCATGAGTTGTATTTATATATTGTCCAACAGGTGTTTAGTCACCCAATCTGTGTCGCAATGTTCAATATAATGATCTATTGGGTTCATCAGCCTGTTAGGTGATACTACATATATACATATAGAGAGAGAGAGAGCACCAAATAAATTTATTCATAAACCATTTATTTAGGCACCAACTACCACTTACGCATAAGTGTTATCACCATGAAGCACAATTTTTACGATTTTTTTGTGAAAGAGAACTTTCGTTTTGAGACAATTATTTTGCAGTCAATTCACACACTACGATTCAAATATTTTAAAAAGTTAAACAATATTGGCATTTAGATATTTGCTAATTACCAATCGGTTATTTCAATCGTGGCTGTCTGGCGTGTTATTTTCTTCGCCAAATAGTTCAGCTAATTATTGATCATAACATTTTTGGAAAATAATTCCAAAATCATTTAATTAATATTCCTTATTTTATGCATATGTCGAATTCATTGGGAGCGGCCCATGACTAGCCTATTTATTCTTGTCTGTGTATAGATCGAGTTATCCCTAAACGTCGCAATAATCCTAGATTTCATACTCTATCAAGATACCACTATAAGATATTGCTAATCTTTTGCAATTCTGATTCCTTCTTGTGTTTTTCTCAAACTTAGTCTGAGCAATAATAACTGATGTGGTCGAACGTTGGTCGGCACTACTGAACAAAATTTTACATTAATAGTTAGAAACTGTTCTTCGCTGTCCTTTCAGTATACTTCTCTCTGAACCCATAATTAAAGAAAAGTAACGTATAGTCAAAACACTGATCAAATTGATGTATTTAAATTCAAATATTTTCGCTAAAAACTACTTGCCGACCAATAGTTAACCTCGTGCGACTTCTGGTAATAGTCTTCTCACCACGACAGACGGCAAATTTTAATTTGCGTTTTTTGAACCGGCATCGACTGGGTGTTTCCACTACATACTATGAAAATATGTGTTAAATCCACGCGTATTTCACTACAATCGGTATGGAAAGGAATGACGACAGTTCAGAGGGACCATGGATGATCTATATATAAAACGTACCTTCTATATGACGCGTTTTGTATGAATCATAGGAGATTCAAATAAACGAATATAGCTTAATATACTGCAAAATATTCATTAAATTCGCAAACTTTCTAACTGCGATAACGGAAGTTACGTAGGACGTATATGGCCTTATGCAATGCACATTACCTCACTCCGTGAAATTTGCCATCTGAATCACCGGAAAGGAGCCCAGTTCAGTTATTATTCATAGATAATCTCTGACAATTATAAAATAATGAACAAAATTGAAACGCATTTAATTAACATGCTACCTACCTACAGTACGTTTGGGTGGAAAAAATAAAATTATAAATTTCAATATACTAAATATATAAATTTTATACTTTCGGATAAAACTTCATATATATATTGCAAAGTTGATACCTGAAATATTTGGATACGCATTCTGTTTGACAAATATTGATAGAGTCTAATATATTGTCTAATAACGTTTGCTGACATTAGAATTGATATAATTCGGCTCTGCCTGCTCAATATCAATATTAGATCTGGCAATGTTAAATGAAATCAACTGGTGATTGTTAGATGAATCGTATTTTTAGTTCCATGTACTTCTTTATAAATATACTTTGAAGTGCTGAGATGTAGGCTCCCGTCACTTTTTATTTAAAATACAGAATACATGATGCAATAACAATAACGTTATTTATATTATGATACTGACGATTGAAATGAAATATTCTGCCTGATTTTTATTCAATTTTGTTATCATTTCTTCAGGGTTTTTGTTCCCAAAAGGCAACGTCATAACACATTTTGTCAATATGTAATTTACTGAAATTGTCCATTGCCAAAGATGTGAAGGAAAGGGCATATATATATATACAATAACACGAAGTTGTTTAAGATACAAGATATTCAAATATTTAAGACTGCGACCGTTAAATAAAGTATGATGCATACACAAGGAAGCGGAGGCGGATTAGCGGTTAGTTGCAGCGCAGGAATAAGGACTAAAAATGACTGCGGCGTGGTCGAGGAGCGAAATTCGATGCATGTGGTGTCCTCGTGCCGTGACTAATCCACAGACCGAAACGCGCTGCCCGTCATATCGCGCGTTATGATATCGCAGAAGGACGTTCACTATTGTCTAATCTAAAGCTGTGTAAGGTTGGCAATATACGCGCAACCAAGACTTCATTAAAAGGAACAGTTTTTTTTTTTTCGAATGAGTTGTGATAATATTTATCAACATTCATGCTTAAATTTGTATAACTGGTCCTTTTGTTATTTTTCCTTTAATGGCTGTGATTATTACCCGAAACAGAATACTACTGTCAATTGATATTGTTCTTTCACCATAGTTCACTAAGTCTTATCTGTTTACGCCTGTTATTTGATTGTTCGGACCTTATTCGATGCTCAGTTTTAGACTCTGTGTTTAGCTTGAAATGAGTCGATTAAAGCCTATAGTTATTAAATAAGAGTGGTTTGCTGATGTATTAGGTTAGCCCAATGGGTTTAAAAAAAAACGATCGGCGTCTACATTGACACAGAGTTTCAAAATAAATTTCAAATTGTCGGAAATAATGATTGTTTCTAAAATATATTCTAGTGGTCATTTAAAAAAGAAGATGCATCCAGCCCTGGTCCAGTGTTGTACAAAAACAAGAATGCCATTCACTGAAAGAACATCAAGCTGCAAATACGGATGAAGTATCATCATTTTCTTTCAGATCTTTATCCGAATGTCTTCGGACGCGTTTTCTTAAGTTCATGCAACGCCCACTAAAGTATAAAATTAAAATATATTATCTACAATTTATTTCAAAGTTTTTTTTATATAATTTTTAAAACGATACCTATTTTTAATTACCATTACAGGGAAGACTAGAATCATTGAATCGAGTCATCTTTTCAAAAACTCGATGTGACTACAACTACAATCATCTAATCTAAATAACTTGAACTCAGACTCGACTAAGTGTCAGAAAGCGTTGATTTGAGATTTGAAAATAAGTAAGAGCGGTTCATTGAGATAAGAAAGAATACAGATAAATACATCGATTATTGACGTATTGAAAAATTCAAAATTCCACTAGTCCATTGCAACAATTTCAGAAAATATGCCGTGTGGAGGCCGAAATGGATGTTTTTTTTACGTGTTTTACTTTCAAAAGAACGTTAGTTTAGCGCAAAAAAAAAGTTCCAGGTCCATATACGTGATTATTTGGAGACTAATATTTATTACTGCTAATTGCATTGATAATCTTTGCTAATATGTTCTCTGAAGATTTGTCATCACTTCTTCACAAATAATTTCAGATTTTACCTCTTCATTTCCAGTGCTTCTTCGTAAGTATCGGGTAAATGCGTTCCCGCAGTCTCCGGAAGAAGGCAGTTCAACAGGGCAGAAGCGAGGGAAAACGACCCAATAATAGTATAGGGAAGTTCTCGCCCGTTTGTGTCACCTACACAACAAAACATTTGTGTAACAGAAATTCAATTTGTTTCATAATACTATTTTAAAATAGAATTTATAGGGAGAATAATAGCGTACGGAAAATCAGTAATATTTACATTTCACGTATCATGAACTCTGATATGCAGTGTTATAGTGGATGGAACGTGATTGGTTTTATTGATTAGGAATTGATTTGAGGATCTGTCATTTAAATACTATCAATTAAATACCACCTTACAAAATGTTTAAAATAAGACAATAAAACTTAAGCCGACTTCAAAGATACAATTATCAATCAGTTTGCTGCAGTGCAGTGAGCTACAGTGATGTAATCTACTACTATCAAGATTCCTTACCAAGGTAAATAATATAGGGGGCAATCACACTTCCGAATCTTGCGAACATCGAGGTTATACCCAGCGCTTGATTTCTGGAAACTGTAGGAAACATTTCAGCAGTGTACAGATATACCAAACCAAAAGCAGAAGTCACAAAAAACTTTCCAATCATGGCTGTAACGATTCCACCAATATCACTGACTGAACAAAAAAAATGAGGTGTAATAATGTAGGTTCAACTCCCGACTTCAAGGTAAGTTTTACAAAATATTATTTCGTGTATATTAAGGTCACCGTGGAATTCATTACTTTTCTACCCAATATAGCATAAAATAATATAAAGGGTGGATGCTGTAGCAGGAATAAATAAGAACACAAATGTATTTCTGTAACGTTTCGTCTGTCATGATTGTTGTAAACTGCTTGTCTGAGGAAGTCTGACTTTGGTCAGACGAAACATTACAGGAATACGTTTGTGCTAGTGTGCAGCAAGACTCTTGAATTGCATAGGATAATAATAACGATAAAGAATATGACTAATATGAAACTGTCACCTCTCATGATCAGTGGTGTAATAATGCACCCAGCTGATCCAGCTAGCAAGTATGAAATCATCAGTGTTCGTCGTCCCTTGCGCCGAAGAAGGAAATAAACTGACAAATACGCAGGGATTTCGACGCAAGCTGATACAAAACAGTTTATGTAATCGTTGCCTCCCATGTTTCCAGTGTTGAGACTCAATGTGTAGTAAGTTAGCGCAATGACAAACCTTTAATAAAGACAAGTCTTGGATACAAATGATCAATATAGTAGTGTAATAACTGTAGTTTAATATATCAAAGTAATTGCTTATACCAGGCTTGCAGTAAACCATGTCCAGCATGGTAAAAACCAAATAATATAGTTTAGGTATAATTCTAATCATACAAACAAACTTCCTTTCATGAGGTGTATTTGTTTGTTCTTGTGTTAGGTAGCAATTATACTTTTTTTATATCGTTTATTTGGGGTAATTGGAGTTTAGTTGAATGTGGTTATCGTTACATCTTTGTCTGGTCTGGTTTATATCTAGGGACCTTTCTATACTAATTAATTTCAACATATGAAGCATTGTTTCTAATCGTTTCGGCAACCAACAGTTATCATCCTAGTAACTGGAGATTTGGCGCGGATGTGAAGCGATGACTAGGGGAATCTGGTTTAGCTATCCAAATATTGACGTAATGTAAAAATACAATATTTTTCATATGGCTGATTTCTTGCGATAAAATTTGCTGCCATTTGGATCATGGCATTTAATATAAAAGGTTTATCTGCACACCCAACGGCCACGTGCTGAAAAAAAGGCTAATCATTGTGTTTGAATATATATAACACGCCAGGTAATTTACAAATTAATCTGTTATTATTCAATTCTCTCAGCAATGATATTGAGACCGTAAAAGAAGACTTCGGATTGTATACAAAAAAGAGAAAGGCAAACATTCCTGAACGTTTTCGCAGCAGCCACAATTATCATCGTGGTTGTTGTTGTTTTCTATACTTCGTTTACTCGGAACTGACACCAGATATGAGAATAAATATACAAAACGATTACCAGGAACAGCAGCTGTATAAAGTCCTACTTATCATCCCAGGATGTGTGAATAACTGGATATAAGGAATTTTAGTCCAACATTTCTCGTTGCCTTGTGAATCAGAAATGGATTTCTCTTCTTTTTCAGAATCATTCGACATCTTTATATTCATAAAATGAGGAATTGGTTTCATTGAAATTGCTTTTTTTCCAAAAGTTTATGGGCATATATAATATGATTCATACAATGATCCCTATAAATTATACTTTTCTTGTTTTAGCGAAGAGAAGTAACAAAATGCGGTCATTTATGGCGAATCATCCGAATATTTTTCAGATAACAAATTGACTAGATATATTACACCAAGCATATAATTTTCAGAAAGACATTGGCGGACCAAATTTAAATGGAAACGTAAACTCAAAAAGGTAATGTACAGACAGACTACCATATATATATGAAAATGTTGATATACACTACAGTAACACCAATTCAATTTAACTAAATATATGTGATCAAGTTGTGAGAATATGCCGGACCAACCCCCCTTTTCGTAGTCTATGCAACAATATTAAATTGAACGAGTAACATTTTCTTTTCGTATGCGAAGTTCAACCTGTGTGTATCAACTTTCAATCTAAAAACTTATACACGTGAAAAATCGAACGTGACTGGACCAATTGATTGCGTCCTTATATGACCATACTCAAAACCTGCCAACGATGATCCCGTGATTCCCCTCTGAAAACTTGACGAAAAATAGCAAAAGCTATATATAACATAATATGCCATTCAAAAGTATTGCTTGTTGTAAAAAACAATTGTTGTAAATTTGTCTGAGAAAGACTGGCCAGGCGAAACGTTCCAGAAATACATTTGTGTTAGTGTGCAGCAGGGTTTTTGAATTGCATAGTATAGTCATGTTTATTCCTGCTACAACATTCTTGCATTATACGCATACGGATCCACTAGCATAAGAGCATAGAGGAGGAATAGGGAGTTTGTCTCGAGCAACCCAATTAATAATCATGGAGGTATAACATATATATAGGTTTTTTTTCAACTGGATTTTTACCAAGAAAAGATTCTCATCTGTAAAGAAGGTGTCAATATCTTCATTCACTCCATTGAATTTAGCAATTTTCTTCAACAGCAATTTAGCTTTTATAAACTTATTTTTTGTTATTAACCAGCGTGGAGATTCTGGTATCAACCTGAAAACAAGAAAGTAATAAATTAACTTTTATGAAAAAAAAGAAAAAATACTGATTGCTGAATCAGATTAAACACTCTCAAAATGTATTTAATTTCTGATAATGATATATTTTTCAACTGGCGAAGAAACACCCGTTATCAGCGACCTGCCTTCATTAAAAAGGTCGAAAGCAGACAGCAGTATTTTGGAATTTTTATACAACTTACCACCAATAGGGAATGTAAACAACCCCAATCGCAGCTGTCACCAGAAATAAAGTTTTCCATTCCAAGATAAAATATGCGAACAGTGGAATTACCATATACCCAACACAAAATCCGATCATTGCCGATGTTTCCATGAAGGCTCTATGTTTCTTATCACATATTTCTGCGCCTAAATAAAAATTTTATATGAATGTGAGTTGTAGAGAATCACGTCCATATCAAAAACAATATTCGTTTAATAATTTTCTATGGTAAAAACGCAACGAAAATGGACGCTAAATCGTCATTATACGCGAAATGTAGGCTACATTGGATTGTTTTGATAAATTTTCCAGTTTCCCAATTCACAATACACTTAATTGTCTCTGGAGACAATTCTTGTTTACCAAATAAAGAAGGATTAACAAAATAGAATGAACTTGAGTTCCAATATGCATAACGTAACTCGCCAACGACTCTGGACCACACTTGGCTTACTTTTGAAATTTTACAATGGTTCTTATTGTCTGTGTTTAATCTGTTGTGTATACATATCATCGTTCATAAATAAATAGGATAATATTTCAACGCGATTTACGGTTTCGAATAGCCCATTAACAGTGTTTATCATATTTCTGAATAACTTTGTTTCCAGTCAATGCCGATTTTAATCGATTTATGAATATGAATGGTATGACATGTGCAACAAACCATTATTGAATAAGAATAACATAACACATACGGATCCGAAGTAGGAAGTAAACAAGGACTTGCATGCAAATGCAGTTCAGTACACAATATCCTACTAGTACAGTGGTTCCCAAACTGTCGGCCGCGACCGCCGATGGGGTCGCGTGAAGATTTTCCGAGGTCGCCTAATTTCTTCCAAACATGCGCACACAAGTGACTAAAGTGACTAGGTTTTAAAAGTTGGAAAATCAAAATAGTACTGGTCGGCAGATACCGTAAAAGTACTTAACTCAGGAATTTTCAGCAATAACTCATTTATTGTCCAAACGGCGCCAAAATGCGCCAAATGCGGTACCTTTCTAGCTGGTCGGCAGGTACCGGTATTATAAAATTTAATTAAGTGACAATGGTATGAGGTCCAATAATATTTTCCTCTTCATAGCTTTTTCGATCATGTTACATCCCAATGAGTAGTTGATACCCGATGATACGCGAACGGATTTTTGCCAGGGTGCAAGAAATTATGTTGGTTTGTGATTTTGTACCAGTGTAGCCGCTTTGTTACCGAAAATACAAAGCAAATTGATTTATCCGGCGATTGGACCTTGATCAGGTGTTTGAAAAGTATGGTATTGATTGACAGGCGGGGTCTTGACCGAGTAATTATTAACCTCTAGGTTTCGATCCGTTGCGAAAGCGCTTTGCTAATTCGCGCACGTGTCTAAAATCTACGAGTAGGCTGCGTGTTTTGTCCTCACCGCCTCCACATAAAGGTGAACATTTTCCTATTGCAATATTACGTATTTAGACGTTTCATACAAAATTACGAAGCGTTCCGAGCAGTCAAACACAAAACCACAAGTCCTAGCATAATAAAGGCACTTAAAGATGTGATTTCATACAAGCTTTTTCCTATTTTACATTCATGCTCTGTTTTACTTTCGAAATAATAATTGAGCAATAATAATTAGAAACAATCTTGTTATTTCCGACATAAGCAGTCGACATGAAGGTACATTGTGATTAACCTTATATATTAATTTTTGAAGTTGCTGAACGTTTCTAGTTGTGGGGTCGCGAGTATCTGTAGGCTTTGATTTTATGAAAATTGAGGTCGCGAAAAAAAGTTTGGGAACCACGGCTCTAGTACACCCCATATTAACAATTAGTGAGTATGATTTGCCGCTTCAATTATCGTTTGGTCTTTATTACCTATAACAATCGCAGCCACAAAGTTGTTGAGAGAACACCCTCCAGCAAAAAACATGAATGCAGCGTACATGGCTGGTGACGTATTGAATATATTGAGACCCATGAATATAAACTGCAAATAGGTTGATGCAATCATTAAAGGCCATCGTCCAAATCTGTAAATCAGAATATGAGCCTAGAGCACATTAATTTCATCAAAGACGACAATGGTAAAATTGATGTACACAAAAAGCTATTTTAAAGCATAATTCAAAAAATCCCTTTTCAGCTTTCTGTCTTCTACTTGCTTTAGGTTACCGCTTTGTAACTATACAAAAGCTGGAATTTCCTGAGAAAACAATGTCTATTCTAAGTTTCCAAGCTCATATGAAAGAAATCTTATAGTAAATATGCATTTAAATTAAACATAGCCATGTTAAAAACGAACTTGGTTAAATTTCATTCACTTACCCATCTGCAACAACTCCACATATCAAAGAACCGAACAAAACTCCTGCCATGAATACAGATGAAATTCTTGGTTTCACGTATGAATAGTTGCAAACTAGGTCCCACTGATATATGAAAAAAATTTAAAATTGATTCTCAATGTGACTTTCTTACAAATATACAAACAGGCAAGATATCTGGGTTCATTGTATTAATAAAATTGAAAAAAAATTTATCTCGAAATGTGCAGATAAAACTTGGGAATTGATACAACCACCGAACGAACCAACATGGATTGAATGTGATTAGAACTGAAGCATTGTAAGAAAAATTATATCATTTCATGCTAAGATACTGACTGAGTATGTTAGATAAATGTTTGATTCTGATTCATTCTATAGTCTTCGTTTGAGCCAAATCTACTTATATAACTTCTCACACACAAACATACCTCCGTAACTGCAGTTAGTTGTCCTTCCACGACATCATAAACATATCCGAAGTCACAACCAGTGGTGTTTTGAGTTTCGTTGAAACCGTATTTCGCGGCTAAAATGGCATAAAATTCCAATTATTGACATAAAAAAATTTGTGTGCGAGACATATTTCTTGCGTGTGAAACAAGATATTTCAACAGCCTATGAGTAGATCTGGCTGTTATGTTTGATTAGATCTTTTTTAATTACGAAATTTAAACTCAATTCCGTATAACATTCCATTATATACTATAAACATGAGTACAAAATAACTCTATATACTTTAGTTTAGAATATGCGTTGGCTATATGGACCTTATTTAATTTCAGTCATTTGCAAAGATGTGATATCAAAACAAGAAGAAATGCAATTGTACTAAATCAAAAATCGGTAATTTGAAGAACTATCTACAGATAAATATTTGTAGCTGTCTTTCGTGGTTGACATTCACTTTGTTTTATATGATTGTTTTCAACTTACTGAGATTGTATCTTAAACATCGGTCGAATCTATTGTTTTTGGAATCCCATGGTATATATTCTGATAATCCAGAGACATTAAACGGAGTTCTGTTAACAAAAAAAAATTTTAAATTTTAATATGAAGACTTCCTGAAGTATTAGACAGTGTCAACTGAATAATATATATGAAACAGCTAGTGGTTCTTCAAACGAGTAGTAGACTAATGATAGTAAATGATGCTTTTTAATGAGATGATTGATCTTGGCGATTTTCAACTAATTTTAAGTGTTTTGATGCAATTTGGTTAGATACAATGATAAACCACCTCGTTTGCGATGCAAAAGCAATTTCTGTGTCGCGCCTGAAAGCCATTTTTCGACAAAATAGTTGGACTAAGAGAGAATCCAGCAGGTTTCAATTTACAAAATAATGTCTTTGTTTGGACTAACTGACTTTTCACTAACGAGTCTAACTGATGGCTAAAGAACTTTGTGCTTCTGACAAAATGGATTCCAGCGGTGTTGGGAAGGAGTCCCTAAACTCCCAGTGCTGAGTCGGGTCTAGTCAATCACTGAGATAGGTCTCACTGGCTGTTAGTTGATGATGATTCCGATCTATTTCATTTAGATCGGTCGTGTCTTTAATAAATGGTGATTCAAGTCGAATCAGTGAATTGAAACTGCATATTTGTGCATAGCTACTTTCTAATGTTGTGAAAATGCTTATAACAGGAATTTCACTGCCACGTGGCTTTAACTGCTCACTCTTGCGTGCAACTTGGTAAATCTATCTCTTAGCTCGTCTGGTGGTATTGTTACAGTCAGAGATGGATAAATCCTTGACTAATCTACAGGCTAAATGATAATTACAACTGATGGTAGGCACGTTCGACAAGTAAAACACATGACGCTACTTTCTACAAAAGACGCGCCATACAGCAGCATTTGTTACGGCATACAATTTAGATCATTTTTTATGCATTAAAAGTAAGGACGTTGGGGGGCGCAAAAAGTAGATTGCAGGTCGCATTCGCAGACGTCGACTGTCCTGAAGGATTGAAGTTAAAAATCTGCCGGTTTGAATTAGGCGTCATAGTGATAAGTGTCACCTCTCCGTATCACACTTAATTACTCTCTCAAAAAAAACCTCTAGCAATTCTCATGTAATTGACCTACTACTTGGATAAATAACCAGCTTAAAACGAAATAAATAACTTACAAAGTCGTGTTTTCGCCATGCAAACCATCTATTTCCGGTATTCGACATCGATGTTCCGGTGTTTTGCTCGTGAAAACTAAAATCATTGTAAAATATCCATTTGGAATCGTACTCAGAGTTAGGAGTAAGCATATCCATTTTTGATATTTACCCCAACCCCCAATACTATTTAGAATGTCATCGTATGACATTGCCTATTATTGTGTTAAACTTAGAAATAGATAATAGAAAATAACATGAGCTTTTTTAAACAGAATTATAGCTGCAAGAATCTTGGTATTTTGATAGTATGCACTAACTCTATTTATATCGGAATGAACAACTTTGCATAAGGTTAATCTAAAAATGAATTATCGATATTTTATAAAAAATTAATCGCGATGCGACCGATTCAATATATATATCTCAGTTAGTAAGTTCAAAGTCTATATAATTTCCTTGATGGGTTTCCGTCCTGTTTGTAATCTCAGGTAATGTACAATATGATCAGAGCAATATTTCAGCAATTTATTAAATCTGTTTACGAAACAAATAAATAATGGCTCAAGGCATTAGGCTAGCAAAGGCGTTGGAAACCTAATTCCTGAACTGTTTCGAGGTAATTTAAGCAGAAATCTGCGGTTATGTTTCCAAGAAGTTTGTTTGAATAAATCATTTCATACTTCGGCTAAATGAACCTGATTTCGTTTCCCCAATTGAATACAACTGCACTTTGAATCTTTATCCAGTGCTGCTGGCACTGCTACTTGTCATAATAGTAAAGTAAGTAATACCGGAATACCAGAATAAAGCGGCGCCTCTAATTTGCATATGTCCATTATGTCAAGTTTGTCAGCAAGGTCGACAATCTCATCAATGTCGTCATCACAGATACAAAGGCACAGCGGCTACAATGAGGCGGGTTCAATATGAAAGATTTAGTATTAAAATAATCGAAACTTATTAGGTTGAATGAAGATTCTGTATCTTGAAATCCTCTAATGTTTTAACCACGCATTTGTTTGAACCATAAAAAGGTGGAATTCGATGTCAATGCGTTGACGAAAAAAAAACTGTCACTGTGAAACGTCTCATTGTGTTGTAATATCGCAGCACCCAGTTGGGGCGTTTTGGTGGCTCGAAGCCGCAGGTAGTAATAAATAAATAAATAGACGATGCTGGGTGGAGGAGACTCTGGAATATATCAAGCTTGATTTGATTCATGTTAAAGGCAAGAACGGCTTTTAAGAACTTGTTCTTGAGAGATAGAAAATTTGACATTTACCAAATTTTTATCGTTGATAAGTTTTTCACCCTAAGGCAATAGCAATCTATGTTGTGGCAGCAACACGGGCAACCTAATTCTGAGGTTATTCAATTTTCGAATCTGCAACGAAGCCGTTTAACGTCGGATAAGCAGCTACCGCTTTCATTTTTTTATTACCGCAGCAATTTTTTAATCCGCTCACTGCCATTGAACCGATGAGTGAGTTTGTGATATATATGTCCTCTCAGAAAAAACAGTGCGCCGTGACGGCGCTTCTGGTCGAGCGACACATTATTTCACATTCATTTATTATTTTTGTAAACTATGGCTGACAAAGTTATAGTATTATTGGTTAAATTCCACAACCAAGAATATTATTTTGTTTTTGATGCATATTTATACTTGAAGTCTCCCCTGACTGTTTAATGTTGTTATACTCTATGACTAGTTGCCTAGTTTGCTTTACTGTGGGGGTTTGAATCTGGAGTGGATTTTGTCATATTGAACAAAATTGCAATGGTATTCAGTTAGCAATATACTCTACAGTCTACATTGAATGGAATTTTTATCTGGCATACTTAGGCTGATAAATTGTAATGAATTATCCACAATTTCCAAAATTAGACAACTGCTTATGTCCAAGTACAAATGTATTGAATAATAAAGCATAGTTGAAATTAGTTCAGTGCGATGTAGTGAATACTTGGTTAATTTTATTTAATAATCAGAATATGGCATTTGGGTTACTCCGGATGCTCAGACATTGCAGAATGCAAATTGATCAAACTATTTTATCGATATTCAACACAATGAATTGTAATATTGATGATGATTTATAACAATTATCTTTCTGCACATGTCCTTGCATAGTCTGAAATAATCTTATTATTCAATTTCGTCCTTTTTGTAATTAAGTTCGATGTTCAAACAAGCCCTCTATTTTAAACTTGGTAGGTTTGAACTTTTATGTTCTTCAATGATTGATTGTATATATGACTTTCATTTTCCCGGCTTTCTTATTGTATGGCTGTGTGACCACAATATCTTGTTTAACGTTACCTCCATATTTAATAACTTTACTTGCTTTGGAAACAATATGATATTTTTAATTGTGTTCGCCTTTCTGTTCTATGTATAATTAACAAAATTTCGAACTGGATTTGCCACGTCTATGTTTCTAAGCAACCGTCGCTGGCGCCATCGAGCAAAACAAAAATGGCGCGCGCAGTGTAAACATCTCTGACGCGCGACCACAGGCGCTGCCGCGGCGCGTCGAATCCAGTGTAAACGCACCTTTCTCTTGTTGTATTGAGCGCCCTTGCTCGATCCATTTTCTGAGAAATGGAAGAAAGCGCGTACTGCTTCATCACACCCTAAGTTACCACTATCCAAAAAGCCTGAACATCGATTTCGATTTAGTTTATTTATTTTCCCAAAAAAGCCATTGCTTTCGACTGCTTATTTCCCACGCTTTGTCTCGAGATACCGCAGAAGCTTAGATTCCTACAGAGAACTGTGAACTGACCCCTCTAGGCACAATACACACTACGGCATGGTTCCGACATTTACCTCAACCAGTCTAAAACCAAGTTAGAGATGCTTGTCTCAGCATGTGGCTAAAAAGAAACGGGACTATTGAATTTAGAAGTTTATTTAGATGCATATCGTACGATGTCCACATTGTCTAACTCACTCTAACACATACACATACAAGTGTTAAGTCATCTCTACTTGTCCCCTTCGAAATATTCCCCATTGGCTTTGATGCGCTTTTCCATTCTTTTTGACCACGTTTTGAAGCACTATGAAAATTCTCCTTTTGTGATGGTTTTGAGGTGTCTCGTCACGCTGGTTGATATCCTCGACTCTCTGGAAGCGTGTCCCCTTGAGAATCTCTTTCAGCCTTGGAAAAAAAAAGAAATAGCAAGGGGCCAAGTCCGGCGAATAAGGAGGATGATGCAACGTGGTGATTTCTTTCGAGACCAAGAACTGTTTCGCGCTGAGGGCTGTGTGGGCAGGAGCATTGCCGTGATGCAAGATCCAAGTTTTTTCTTGCCCAGGAAGCTCTTCGTTTTTAACGAATTTTGTTGACAAGACGAGTCAGAACTTCCTTGTAAAAGTGTTGGTTAACTGTTCGTCCTTGGGGAACAAACTCATGATGCACCATTACCTGATGGTCAAAAAGGCGATCAGCATCACTTTCACTTGTGAACGTTGCATGCGGGCTTTTTTTGGTCTGGGTGAGGACACACTTTTCCACCGACGACTCTGTCGTTTTGTTTCCGGATCATAATGAAAGACCCATTACTCGTCTCCTGTGATGATGTTTTCCAAGATTTTTTCGTCTGCTTCCATCTGCTCAATGATGTCTCGGCATGCATTCAATCGTTGAGTTTTCTGCTTCTCAGTCAAGACTGCGGTGGATCTCAAACTTCTCCCCCCCCCCTTTTTTTTTGCTTTGAAAAAATGCTTTTGTGATGGGCAGGTTTCTTTATATCAAAATGGCGCTGTATGAGTGTTGGTCTCATAGCATCATTGCTCAGATTGTTTTGGCCCAAATGCATCGGAATACAACTTGGCCATTCACTGTCGTATGTATAAAGCCATACTCAAATAGTGGTCATCATACATTCTCCGTTTTCCGCTCAGTTTGCAATACCTGATAAAGTCAAACTAAGTTTGAGGTAAAACTAAACACGCAATAAATATGTGCGTTTTGCGCTTTAATGTTTTTGGATGGCGCACAACCTGAACATGGTATGTGTACCAGGCACTTGGATGCGCAACAGCAGTCGCGCGCTTGACAACAATGGTTCTCATACTTTTTAAAAAAAATTGCATAACGGTCCCCTTACAAATTTTCTTATGACTCGGTCACCAAAGAATTCAGATGAGCAACACGTTATATCAAGCATATACCGGTAGGCTAAAACTTTTTCCAGCACTTTTACTTTAGAAACCCATCTTGCGTGTGAGTTCAAGAAGATTGTTTCGAATTTGGAATCGTTGTCTTTGCATAGTTCAGCGAATTGATTTTTATAATTTTGAAACTTAAAAGTAGATTTTTTACAATTTTGAGATTAGAAGGTGCACATTCTTTCTCTAAATAATAATTTATTTATGGTACCTGTACTTGATTCTGTTAGCCAACGTTTCTTGCCTAACAAAATTTCAAATTGGTCTCGTATTTTTGAAAAACACTGTACTAGCATGACATCAACAGCTTTTTCATTAGTGCTCCTGTGTCCAGTGGCGTTTCTGGTGTGGCAGCCATGGCTCGTGCCATGGGCGCCGTTTGAATAGGGGCGCAAAAACGGCGAAAAGTATTAATAATAAAACGTTTCAATAAAATAATTTTAAATTGGGAATAATTGAAACTCGTATTTTTACTCAAATAATAACGTAGAAGTATCCTAATTCATTAATAATCATTATAAATTGTCGAACATATATCAAAGGGGCAAACTTGCTTCGCAGTCGCTCTAAAATTGCTTCGCGGATCTCTGAGCAACAGCTGCCCCAACAATGCCAGCGTTATTTGAAAGTTTAGTAAGAACGTTCACTAGCCTTCTTGTCGCGTGCCCAACACTTTTATTACGTTTCCAACTTGTCCCCCACTTGTATCACATGTCGCCCTTGTTCTACGTCGCCCACTTGCCCTACGTCTTCCACTTGTATTTAGTGAGACACGCGTAGAAAACGTGGGACAAGTGTGGTGTACGCGGGAAAAGTGGCGGAAAGAGGAAACTCGAGGTAGAACGTATCTTTGGGGATCTCAATTTTGTATATTTTTTTAAATTGGATTTTATGGCTTTATGACCCACCAAAATTTGGATTCCCCCTCAAGAGTCACCACGAACTCGATTTTTAGGCGCTTTACAGCTTTCGGCCCATGGCCTATAAGATAAGGATAAAAAAGAATCATTTGTTCATATTTTGCCCTCAGTTGAAAGAGCTAAAAAATCATTTTGGAATTAAATATTTTATATACATTAATGAAAATTGTTTCAATTTTCCTACCGACACCTCATAAACTGGTTAAATGTTTTTCAAACATTTCAAGGACTGATCAAGCACGGGTGGCAAATTGATGTAAATCTGCTGAATCGAAGGTACCAGCAACATATAAATGCAGGAGCTACAAAGAGTCGTGCACATGATGAATTAGTTTTTCCAGGTGTGATGTTGAGTTATGGCGTTTTTCAAAGTCAAAGATAAACTCAAAATCAGGTAAAACGAGCTAAAATAAGACGAGATGGACATTATCTCACTCACTTTACTCAATATTCAAAAAGTGATTTGTGATAAGATACTTGGTTCCCCTGCACAGCGTTTGTTTCCGTGTTGACCAAACGGTGGCAGCATATCTATACATCGCAGAATTTGCTTCTAATCCTAATATATAAAACCCAAAATAAGTACATAGTCAAATATATGCATAAAAAAAGTCAAGAGATGAAATATTACGATAAGTCTTCAAAACTGCTAATCATTTTAAACTATTGTTTTCAAAACATAGTTCGTTAGTCGTTACTGCTTTACAATTCACTTTATTTGTTTCTACGTTACTTTTTTCTTTATTCGATGATATTATTTAGAAATGTTTCCTCCAGGACATAAAACTAAATGTTTATAAGAAGACAAGAATGTGCGGTTGCAATAATATATCAACAGAAAACAACTTCGTCCATTCGATTGATATATATTTGAAATATTTACAAAATGAAAGCAGAATAAGACAAAAAAACGAAAAAAGCCAGCTCAGTGCAGAAAATATGATAATAAAATGGTGTTATAAATAGCAAACTAAATATTCTCTTGTAGCCCAAACTTTTTTAATTTACGTTTAAACGATTTGCAAAATTTGAATCAAATGCAACCCATCTTGCCAATAATAAATTCACTGTAGTTAATGTAAACTAGTAATAAACAATGGCACCACACAACCGAATACGACCATCTCTTGACTATATCACTATTCTTCGATTTCAATAAGAAATAACATAGAATCCATATTTGAGGCATTTTCAAAATTGAATCTCATTGACAAAAGCTTTAATATAACAGAAATATTTAAACACTTCGCAATATAATGTAATGCCAATATAACGTTTTTTTTCCCAAACTATTTTGTTACGAAAATCAGCTCACTTTTGCTAAAATCACTTTACATTCCGCCACGACCGATAGTGAGAAATTCGATTGTGTCTGAACTATGGCAGTTCAAGCCGATTTCTTAGTTTGATTTATTTTTGTCGCGGAAAACAACAAAACAATTTACATCTTTTCAGGAAGAAATTAGCGCAAATTTTTTCGTAAATCAGTGTCGGGTCAAACTTGATCAGGCATGAGTCAGTGATTGAGACTCTCACCTAATCAAACATGACACGACAATAAATAGACAAAGAACTAACTGGAAGTCAGTTCTTCAAGCACGTCATAAAACTGATCAAGCGATTCGTCATAAGATTCTGCATTTACTTTTTCTTGAGTTACTCCAGTCTTTTTGTGTCCATTTGTTATAGGAGCCGAGTTGGTGATTATTTCTGGACTTTTCTGAGAACTTTCGGCAGATTTTTGTTCTGGATTTTGTTTGATGACGTCATCTTTAACGTCATTGTTGTTGTTGTCCTCTATTTCTTTGACTGGTGACTTTCCGACATTAAATGAAGCCACTTTGTCCTGTTTGGTTAAACAAACACATTTTTGTATTTCGTCAGGTTACTATATTTCACACATAGAACACCAGAAGTGGTTATATGAAATGAGGTGTAGTACAAAGTTCCTCGGACGTGGATCAGAAACATTACTTTGACGTTTTTTTCACTGTTTTTGGTGGTTTTTCGCCGTTTTGCACGTTTTGTATATGTTACTTCACTGAACATGTTTTTTTTTACAGTAATTGAAAACTCGTAATTCGAATATGTGAATTAACGTAAACTTTTTTGAATATTCTATAAATTACAGAAAGAAAGCTATAGCATTTAGATAACTTCGATTCTACATGGTTTCAGACATTAGAAATAAGATATGCATCAAGTTGTTCATTTACATATACATCCAAGTGGAGCAGATGAAAGCAGGTGCATCTTCAAATTTTGTCTTTATTCTAAATTATAGCATGTAGGCTTGCACGTAATTGACAAAAATCAATTCCGTAATTACGGCCAAATCGATTACGTAATGACCCCGTAATTGCGATATTTTTTTCACACTTTTAAACCTATCATAACAACCAATTTAATCCACTTCTATTCCGAATGGGACATCGACAGTTGGGACAGTTTGGTTTTCATATTTCCGCCAGTACTACACGTCGGCGACATATGCTAAAGACAAATATCAAGGAGTGAATTCAAATTAATTTTATTCTGATTTTTATCTTTTGTGTTAGCTTTGATTTTCCTTTATCAACTTTATCACCCAATTTTATGCGATCAATTTCATCATTACCAACACTGGTAAGTGGCAATATATTTATGAAACGATAGTTGACTTTTTTAAAATCGTATTAACGTATTAATACGAGTTTCGTATTGAATAAAAATTCCGGGTTTCTAATTTATAAATCAACGACGAGCGTATTCTCTCGTTTGATTATACTTGCGCTTGCCTCACGACGAAGACTTGTTATTGTACCGTTTTTTTACATTATCCGACTTTACTACCTAGTTAGCATTTTATAATAATTATTGATGCCGACTTATTGACGATATTCCGATTACCATGCTTCATTTTACATTAAATCATTTCGCGGCCTAAATGTTATAACATTATTTGTGATAAATTTAGATTAAATATTAATTATTTGCGCATTATTTAAATACCGTACTTATGTGACATGCCTTCTCCGAAAATACAAAGTTATATCGCAAAACAATGCATTTGGTGACATTTATTTTGCACTCACGAAAATATTAATTTACTTTTCTAACTCAAGTCGACAATCCTATCGGCTAAGATTGACACAAGTTTGGTCGAGTGCCGGTGGTATTTGAGTCGACGATAAATCAAAATAAGTTGCCGCATTTGGTAAAGACTTAAAGATATTGTAAAGACATATTTGGCCGAAATAGTGCGAGGCATTGTGAAAACAAGGCCAAGTACGGACAGATAAATAACGATAAAACCGGTAACAGAACATCAAGATTTTGTAATAGAAAATGGATCTCGCGCAGAATAAACATGGGAAATCCCGTCTTTTTGTTGTTTCTCTGCCGTCTGAATCGCTTTACCGATGCCGGAAAGACTAAGTTGCGTTGGTTCATTACGCAAGTTCTCTTCCGTCGTCATATTGCTGTTTGATAAGCGCGACATTAATTATCACGGCATTTACAAATAGACCATGTTTGGTAAGTTGATCAGTCATTTAACCCGAAGAAGTTGAAACCAGGTGTGTTGGCGTCCATCGGTCTCAACACAATTCTATCCCATATCTACGCTTAATATGTACATTTGCCATGCTAGATAAGTTGATAATAGGTTAGTAAATGGCAACGCGTTATGCCTTCTCCATCTGCATAACAACTCTAACTTCTTCTACTTATTAAACTTTAATTTTTTACAATCGACGGAATTGACTGTTCTAAAGAGAGCTCGTTTCAATCGCGAAAGCGCTCCACCAATAATTACGAATTTACGTAATTCGTAACTTCGCTTCCGTAACTCGAAATAATTCCGTAATTCCGTAAATTCGTAAATTACGTGCAAGCCTAATAGCATGGGTGTTATAATTAGTTGTTTTGAATATGCCAAATTATAGTTTGCGTCACCAATTTCGATGCTCGCTTTTGGCAATATACATTTACTATACAATGAGATTTAATAATAGGTTAAAAATTATTTCTCAAAGAGGCATACAGGTAAAATAAGAAGAAGAAGGAAGTAAAAAATGCCCTACCTTTTAGTAACTGTTTCATACCTTGAGTGATATTTGAGGTTCATCAGTATGGGTATGTCCGTTTTGTGTTGGCGTTGTATGTTCTTGTTCTGTCTCTGGTTGTCCATCTGTTACGTCACTCTCCAACGTCAGAGCACCTTTGAATAATCCCAGAATCTGTTGCGCCACCTGTGTCGAGTCATGTTTGATATTAGTTTCGCCGTTCATAATAAAACTACGATTTTACAAAAGTATGATTGACAAAAATGTTTGAGTAACTGAAAATTGAATTTAATACAACTGTAAATTAGTGCAAATCTATACTGCAATACAACTATTTTAAACATTGCGAAATGTTGCAGGACTGCGCTTTCGCAAGCAAGTTAGTTGCCACACCTGTATCTCATGAATACAAGCTTTGGTTGTAATTTTCGAAAAATCGTTGTTTACATTATGGCAATCATTTTCAGTTTATCGCAACAAGTGCCACATGACACTTTTTTTTATGAATGTACTGAATAGTTTTACGATTGTAACTGAATTCTGATTGGTAATGAGAGAGGCATCAGAACTAGCCTCTTGCCCTGAGATGGATAAAATGAATAGCAATGCAGAAACATTTATCTTATGATGTGATCAAATGTCACCAATAAACTTCAGATTGTATATTGTCGGTGGCTTGCAATTTACAACTACTTTATCAGTACTTTTTTACTATTGATCCAGGCCTCGAGGTATTGAGTTGGGCAAATTTGTATACAAACGTAATTCTATATCAAAGCATTTTGAAAATGAACGTATGAATAAACTCTGATAAAGGATTGTTACATCAAATCCAACTAACATACATTCAAAATAAAATCTATATTTCAAAATGCGCAGACGACATTGGCATGATGTTTTACACGCGATGATGTCATAGTCATAAATCAGAAGCAGATCGCCGATGTATCACGTGTTTGGATGAGATTCTGGCAGAAATTTAAAACGTCCAAGAATGGAAATATTTGATCTGTTCAAATATTTGATGTTATGCAAACTTTCTAATATGTGTATTATACGTTGCACTGTTTCTGTAACTTCTTTGTCGAGTTGAAAAACTATCCATACCGACTGTCCAAATATCTGAAATTCATATTTCTCATATATATTCCCAATAAATATATACATATCCGAGAGAAATTATTTTTATTGATGTTGTCTATAATTGAATAAATTTTGGTTTAATTAATTTAAAGAGAACTAATCGTTTACACAGGGAAAGACCCGATCGAATTTGATTGTCAAAAAATAATCAAAAAACCTTTTACGAATAAAACAATTACGTGATGCTTAGACAATTTCTGGAAAATTAATTTTTTAGTTTCTAAAGTGTGCATAGTTGTCGCGCTTTCATGATAATTTTTTTATAAAAAAAGTACGAAATAAATGTCGTAGTAAGGTACTTTTATTGCTCAGTGCTTAAAATACGATCAGGGAAAATTTAATGTTTAATTTTTTTTTCTCACCTATCAAAATCAAAAACCTATGAAACAGAGTGGCAATTAAGTCTACTGTTGAAGCTGGATATAAACTGAATTTTTTTTATGCTAGCATTAGTCTACAATGAAATTAACCCAAGCACTAAACAAACATTCATCAACTTGAGCTGATTTAATTTCGTATTTCTTGTAAAATCGAAATCTGTGTGCAAATAATTTTTAAGAATGATGAAACGTGCTTATAAGCAGGCCTTGAAAGGGTCTAGTTTCTGTTCGGCTCAATATGGAGAACTTTGTAAAAAAGACGGATCCAATTCACTGCACTTTGTAAATAGCCTCGAATCAGAAGACAATTCAGCGGCCTGGTGCTATATGACGGCGCCTCAACAAACCCCTAATTTTTTTCAATTTAGCATATTCTAAAAAAAAAGTAAATTCTTGAACTGACTGTCTACTTTACACCCACTGCAAAACTTTTCCCGAGTGATAACTGTGCTCACCTTACCTACTATTAATAAGAGACGAATCATTTCCTGTGCATAGGTTAACTCTCACTGTATAAATTTGGCAACAACATGATTCAGATCTCAAATAATCAAAATATCGATTGTCACGCCAAAAAGTCCACAGAATAAATCAATATATCGACGATCAATTTATAGTGCAGTCCAAGACAGGACCAGGGAATTTAACACTTTAGTACGTTAAGAAGTACACTTGATCGAGGAAAAATTGGGTTTATTGAAAAGTTTATTTTAGAGAATTAACACAAACAAACTAATAATAAACTCATAGGTTGCACGTTATGTTATGTATTGGTCTCCATATAAAATAAGATGTCATACTATAAAATTTTTACTCATATAATTGCACTGTGACATATGTCTTGTGATATATTACTCACTATTATCCAGGAAACAAAATTATAAAATACAAAAGTTTAAGTGACGACTATACTGCTAATACCTGTTTAAAAACCCATTGAGTTGTTTGCAATCTGAAGAACCAAAGAATTATACAAATCAGATTTTAAAAGTGAAAATTGAAGATACAAACTGATAGCAACAATCACCGAATCTCAATGTAATGCAAAAAATGATATCGTAACAAAATGTGTTAGTTTTATTCAAGTGAAGAATATTAAAACAACTGTTGGTTAAAATATACAGAAACCTTATCACCGCATTTCGATCATTGTAAAACATCAGGTGGACACTCATCTTCTATCTATATAGTATACCTAATATACATTCAAATTTTATTCGCAAATCTAAATAATGCAAAATCAAACAACGTAAACCATTCAAACAAATCGGAATTTTATGCAAAAAATACATTTGTTGATGCGTCAAGCATTCTCTTACGCACGTAATGTTATGTGTAAAATACGTTTATGACATAGTTTCAACGAGACTCAATTTATTTCGAATCATCTATGAACTATGCATTATCGATAACAAGCTTTTAAAATAAAGACAATTAGAAGTAGCTGATCACGAAATTTCTGAACGTGTTTAATGGGGAGTTTCGTTATTCATGTTTTCAATGTGAACGTTTTATGTTGTTGTTTTGTGGCAACTGTCCAGTTTATCAACATTGCTGTTTTTTAATACTTTTTGTGGCTAATTTAAGCAACCAAAACTTTGTAAAAACTGTTCAAAGTCCAAAATAGTTTCGTTTGCTAACGTAGAAAAATTGAGAATAAGTCGATTTTTGTATATGCCGGACTGCTGAAATGTTTTAATCTGCTATACAATGTTGTCAATGTTAGTAAGATTCATTTAATATATGCAATTTTAGTCACTTCCGGTTCAATAAATGCTAGAGGGTGTGGTTTTACAATGCAATGCTTTCTTTGTGCGATATTCACACATTAATAGTATTTGATGCATGATGTCTGAAATAGCCTATATTGATCATACCGCAGAATACAAATGAAATTACCTATATCAATGCAAAGTCAAAATAGAAGGCAGTCTGGGGAAAATCATAAGAAGCGAATAATTATCTTTTGAATTTGTTTAAAACACGTAGTGCTTGAATTAAATTTAGCATGATTAGTATTTTAACGTGTGACAACTTCGTCTATTTATTAATCTTAAAGATAAACAATTAATCCAGGATTAAACATTATGACGTAATTGAGCGTGTAAGCGAATATCCCTTTTCGAAATGTGAAGATAGAAATTATTTTACCTGTATCGATCAATTTCCAAGAAATGATGTCATTTCTAGGCCCTCACTGTTAAATGTCCAGGAATACACGGGAATAGAACGCCGTAGTAACACCAAAATATAACTGCTTATGCTATTGTTAGTGTTTTCAATATTGTCAACACGTATGGTTGTTAATCGAGCTGGAAAATTATGGTACAACGTTCATCGGATGGGATCCTCAGAGTATAACAAATCGGTATGAAACTCCATATCAGACTATTAAATTTAAAATAAAATACGAACTTGTGCAAATAGCCACAGTAATCTACATAAAGTTTAAAGTTTTAAAAGATTTTTCATAGCCAATCAATTACCATCTTGCAGAACCTATAGCCTATAATCCAACCCTACTGTGAATATACTCAAAAGCTACCGTACAGTATTCTGACACACTATATGTAGTTCAATGATGAATCAAAAAATCATCGATTCACTCAACAGCTTGAATATTCGGTTAGCTTGTTTTATTACTGCTTGCTGCACTAACATCGGTTACTCCTTATAAAACTGCTTGCTTGAATAAAATAAATCTTTCTGCTCAAGAACTGCTGCCGTTCATTCTTGAAACCTTCCCTAATTATGATTACTATTACTTCCGGTTCATATGGTCAGCTCACAATATTCTCACGAATACTACAACGCGACGTATTGCACAAAATTCTGCTAACACGACTGAGCTTGCAATGGCTGACTTCGCTTACTTTACAAACTATAGTCCGACTTTCAATTACTATGTTTTTGTGATGGTTTTTGTAGTAATTTGGCAGTTACAAAAATCGGCGCTCCGAAGTGTGTGTACCAATGTGGAGGTAACTGATTTTGACGCCTATTTTACATTAAGTTGTGTAAGAGGACTGAAACCTATGGACAGGGGGTATGTACATTCACTTGGCTAACACAGACAGTCCCCGAACTTGTAATAGAACTAAAATAAGGAAAATCGGAATAAAATTATAGCCTAACCTTGTACACACACTACGGGAGTACCTCAAAATCAGTTTATCACTTCACAAAGCTTATAAGTGTTGCAAGTGTAAGTGATTAAGTAAGTGTTGATACGCAAATCAAATCGAAGTAAAAACTACAGTTGACGTTATATACAAAAAAATAACCATAACCGATTAATGAAAGATGTATGCTCAAAAATAAGTAAATGAATCTTTCATCGGCAATATTTTCGCTATTTCAATAAGATGATTTAAACCTTCCTCGATTAAATATGAAAATCTTTTACACCAAGATATTTATACAGCCTTTTGACCAAACACCAATCGTGCTTGGACCTGCTTGGTGGTACTAGAATAAAAAAAAACTCCAAAAACTAGATCTATCCTGAATATCTGACAAAGAAAAGTCGATGTGGGTCAACGGAATGCTACTATTTTGCCAACAAGAATGTCTTGTTTAACAAAGCCGTCCCAAACACATGTTGCAAATACGCGTGCCGGAAAACTAGAGACAGCTGCAAACACAATAAAATGACATCATTGTATCTGGCAAGTCTATCACGAAACTAGGGGTTGAAAAGCCTGGATTCGAAGAGATATATATATTGAATAAATTACAAAGTAACATATAGACATACCCGATAAAACTTTCAGATATAAGGATTTATTGCATGGCACGTAATTTTATGATGACATTTGCTCTGGATTAACTTTTCTTATCTCACTTGCGATAGAATAGACATTCACAATAAAAAGCCAATACGTGTTTAACTTGGTCTCCTGTTACCTTCGAAATTATGGATACGTGGGATAAAAATTTGACTTTAAAGTTACATAGTTGATCATCGGAATCACTCGATACCGAAATGTCAAACGTATCTGAGATAGCGTCACGATTATTTCTAGAACAAACAATGTAAAGCATAAAAAACAATATAATTTGTATCAAATTGTGATAAAATCTAATTGCTACTTTGATATCAAGATTGGCGAAAAAGAAACAAACAATGTGGTTTCATTCAATTTATTGAATCTTGTAAATTGTCAATTTCATGAAGAGGTGACACTAGATAACGTCATAGTGAACTTTTATGAAGTTTCCATATTTTACAAAGTTCAGGAACAACCTTATCTTGACGTTGTTCGACAATATGCCATAACAAATCACAAAAATTTGCACCTGTACAACCTCGTGCTACTGAGGACTATAAGTTTAACCTTTGAATGGCCTTCCAGTTCACTGTTTTTTCAAGCATGGACAATCGAATAATCGAGATTTTTAATCAAAATTTTCCGTAATCGTAATCAAACTTTTTTCTTATTTATTATATAGAGCGATTTAAAGATAAAATTATAACAATAAAATAATATTTTACTACGGATTATAAATCATATTTGCATACAATTATCATTATCAATTTATCATGTAACAACAATTACACGCAAGATAGTGGTATCTTTTATTTCGTTTGAAAAGCACCCTTGTCCTTTCCATCCTCCACTGTCGTAATATTCTGGCTATATTTCATACAATAAAAACTCAACTGAACCCTAATTGCCAAAAAAATTCCTGCAACTTTTCATTACAAAATAACGAAGATCTGAAAGTGAATTCCAATCAGACTCTGATGGAAATCCTGGTTTTAAGTATTTGTCAGCACAATCAAAGACAAAATAATACTGATGATCGTGATAAGACACATTTCAATTTCCAAGCCATGACATCATCTATTCCATACCATATTTGGATGCCAGCACCTCCAACGAGGAAGGGTGACGTGTGAATTTAAACATCTCTCAAACAGAAATATGTCACGGATCATCACGTGACCTCCCTTTTCAAAATTTCAGTTTATTAAATGCAATAAGCTAGTATCTCATCCTGCCAGGTTTATAAAAATGTTTAAGCATCATAAAGTCATACTTGACTATCCTTTGGGAGAAATAGTTTTCTAAATTCGAAGATAAATTTCTACGTATCACTAGAGAAATTGACACGTTTTATTTCTCACTTTTGACAGGACTAAAATTGGCGTTTACAAAACAAGTTATCAAAGTAAAGTAGTCCAATTATAGGGCCTGCTATAATACCAGGTTGAGTTAGAAAGGCTTTGAAAACAGAAACAGACATTTTCTTGAAATGATTTCGTACGGAGTGACCTTTTTCCACGCGATTCTCAAAAGCCAGGTGAAAAGGTCGATCCTGTGAATTCGTTTGTAGCTGTTTCTAGTAAATACTTGAGAGACTTTTACCAATTTATAACATTTGTTAAGGCTACCGTAACTTGATCCACTGGAATGCACAATCTTGACGACCCCAATTACACTCTCACAAATTATGTTTGCGGCAAAACAATTCCAAATATAACATCTCGTTCCTTTTATTTGAACAAATTTTACATTAAGTGTAGCTTTTTGTTTTTCAGAAATAATGACACTAGAATAAAGTGCGTACTAATGGATATTCTCATTTAGAATTTTGTACTAACAAAATTAGAACTCAACTTTATCTCTTCATAAAAAAAAAAGTAAAATGAATATTGCTTCAAAGTCTTTTCTCAATCGACGATATGGACATGAGTGGATACAAAGCATAACTAATTCATATTTATACCAGGAGGGAAGGTATATATAGATCATTAATGTAGATTCGTTTCCTTGTATGAATCATTTTAACCATAAGTCACTTGATGGGTCCCAAGACTGGACGATGGCTTTACATTCCATAGAGCGCATCATATCAGTCCAGACAACGTTATTCTTGAAACAGTCTTTATACGATAAATACTGTCTTTTTATGGCCAAATACATGAAATATAGGAATTGTAGTGCTGCTATATTAATTATTTTCCAACAATTCTTACTATGACGTGATGATCAGCTATCTCCTCAAAACCTAAACGTCAACAGCAACACTACGTAGTGACTGAAGTACCTATCCTTAACTGGCTAGCCCAATTAAGACGATACAAAAATAACTTTTTCTAACACTGAGCCGAGTAAAAGAAATCAGGAAATTGAATTGTATTTTGAACGTTTTATATGTGAGGACCGAGATGCGTTAGAAAGCTTCAAACGCCTGCGCATTAATAAAATGTTAACCAGCTATCATCTATTTCTCAACTTGAAACTAATTCCGTAAAAATAATGTTAAATCTGACACAATAGATCAAACGTTTCAACCAGGCCGTGCGTAATACGTGATACGCGTTTTAAATGAGTACAATGAGTAAATGAATAGCAACATCCAGCTTAGATGACTTGCTTGAAAGTTTAAAGTTTTTCGGTATTACTATCACACTTTTGGAGATTACGTCCAATCGAATACGCATCATGGATAAATCGTAGATTTGTATCTGTCATAAACATCATCTAATTGTTGGGCTCTTTCACGCAAGTACATTAAAGCAAAATTTGCATAGCGATCATTATAGTAAAAACAACTAAACGAAAATTGATTTGTGTCTACATAACAATTGACGTCACACCTCGCAATAAACGTGTCGTGCATGACAATTTTGGCAGGTTTTGTCTAACACAAAGCACCGATCAATTACGACAAAAACAAAGTAGATTCGAAACCAACATTACAAAAACTTTCGAAATAATGCGATTTCGAAATCGAAAAGTCGAAAAGTCTTCTCAGTATTAATTATTGACGGAATGCTTAACAATTCAGGTGGTTGAACCAAAATATTTCAACTAAAGTTTAAAAGAGCTAATCAAAGCAGTTTTCGGTAACTTAGTCGGTGCTCCCGTGGTGTGTGTACCAGAATAGGGTTACGCCATAATTTTATTCATATTTTCCTTATGTTAGTTCTATTACGAGTTCGGGGACTGTCTGTGATAGCCAAGTGAATATACCATACCCCCCTGCCCATAGGTTCCAGTTCCTTTACACAACTTGATATAAAGTAGGCGAACAAAATTAATTACCTTCATATTGGTACACACACTTCTGGAGCGCCAATTAGCCGATCCAAAGTCGGAATATTCATAACTGGAAACAACGATAAGGCACATTTGGAAAATCTTGAACTGAAACAATATCCTAACTAACTGATCGGCTTAGTGTGAGGATGTGATATCAACTGATTACCACAGTAAGATTCTATGCTTGAATAATTTTCAAAACGGATGCGAGATCATAATGACAAATTTAGAACTGAAAGCGGAAGAGGGATGAAATAACATCCATGATTAATCAATATACTTCCTCTAAGGTCAAATGTCATTTTCTGAAATAGCGCCCGGAAAATACATTGTCCACGTTTACATTGTGCGACGAATAAACAATTTTTTAGTCTTTAGTAGAAGAGGTAGCCACTAATATTGTGTAAATAATTTCACAATTCCGGGTATGTTTTTCACTGGAAGTATCACCGTCATACTACCAATATATATGTCTTAGCAGTCGGTTATTATTATCTGAGTAGGTGTTACCTACTAATCATAATCTTTCTTTGTATGAATCTAATTTGTTATGTCAAATTTCTTTGTTATAATTTAATGAGGCTCGTGATATCAATGACAATGGATTTCCAAAATCATGGATATAAGCATTTAAGCATAGGTGGTGGAAGAAAATAAAACCAACTCATAACAATTAAAGACTTGCCGATTAATGTAACAAGGCATATCACATGTGTGTGTTCGGCCACAACAGCCCATTAAAAAGTGATAAAACAAAAATGATAAACACCTCTTCAAATATAAATTATTTGAAAAATGATGCTACTTGAGTAAACGCTCAAAACTTTAGTTTTATACTACTATCCATGGCCAAATATACCCACTTCAATATTGGTTTATCTTCGATTAAACATAGATAAACTCTTCTCAAAAACTACAAGTACTTTCAACCAGTGAATTGGCCATGGCCAAAATAACAGTATTTGACAGAGGAGTATCCTCATACTTGAGAAACTGAACATGGGCAGAAAGTGTTTTAAGTACAGTAATATATCACATGCTTTGGTGTACTTAACATTCCGTAATTAAACCGACAAAACGCAGCAGAAATTTCTATAAAAATATTATAAATCATACACGAAAGTAGATTGAACTTTTTCATTATCGTATATATGGGAATTTATATTCAACATAGGATTCCTCCGTTGCATACGTTTTATTTTTCATCAACCAGATACTACAAAGCATTTTAGAACAAATTTTTTAGCTCCACCTTGCGGTATTAAATGCTTACCTGTGTTTGTTCTCCATTGGGACTTTTGCTTCTTGTCTGGGGTGATTTCGAATTCTGGATATTGAATAAAAAATAATAAGGTTGTATATTTTACACTACACTTTTTAGTGTATTTTATACTACACATCGGCTACCAATTTTTTTGGTTATCCTAATTTTGCTGGAATGCATAATTTGTCACCCCTATGCCTCGAAGTTTGCATGTTTGGTTTTATAATTAGTCCTCATATCAGAGTATCAAACAGTAAAAAGATAGACTACAGTCACTACACCATGAAAAGTGTTAATTAACTTGGTGAATTTACCAAGAGACTTTCCATTGTCAACTATGAACGTATGCTACACAATTTATATAATAAAAATTCAGCTCTTCAAATCTTACAAAATCGGTAGAACTCTATGTGGTAATTGGAAAAATTTTGGAAAGCTAAGTGAATACTACAATTTGATTGAATAAATTGGCAATTCTCGCATAAATATTGATATTTAAGTGTACGATAAAGAGTGACAAATTAAGATTATTACATGCATAGAAGCAAAGCAAGATGTGCTATATGTTAATTTTTCAAGTAAGTAAGCAAGACATGAAATAGGATATATGAAAGAGATAAATAGCGTTCATGCAGCAGACAATAAAACAGAAAATGCAATGTTTTAAGCTTTCTACTTTTTGTTGCGACGAATGAATTACATGTGCTTGGTCAAACACTATAAAGCTCTTTGGAAAGATTAGCGCAAAAAGTTAATTTTAATATAATAAATTAATTTGATGAATTGAGAAGGAGAGAGTAGGACAGATCCACGAGAAAAACTAACGTTCTAAACTCACATCTTCTCCTGGGTCGCCTGGCTCAGCCACCTGTTAATCGCGGAGTAATTAAGTCAGACTAATCTAGTCAGTGTTTCAAAGACGACGTGTTATTAGACCTACTAATTGGATCGACTACGTTAATGTGAAGACTTATTTATTATTTTTCGTATTTCGTTCTTGATAAATGGGAACTTTGGAATCCATCACCTTTGCGAAACTATTTACAAATGCCATAGTTGGAGTTGTATTGCAAATTTAAAGTTCAACTAGAAAAGGCTAGAGACTGAAAAAGTGACTTTGATCGTACTCAAATATACCTGAATTATTTTCCTAAGTGGCAAATCAGATTTTAACAAGAAACTGTATGATATCGTGAATCGGTGATCACAATTTTTAATTATTTTAGGTAGGGCCAATAGTACGGCCCAGTCTGATTTTTTCAAATTCGATGTATCCAATCATACATGATCTTGCATGTCGCTGCAATTTGTCTCAATACTCCCTCTATGCAGTATGCAGTATAACTGTGAGTAAAAAATAAAATGTGGGCATTTCAGCTGGGTCTGGTATTGTACGCATTATCATGAGACAAAAGCATCACCACGCAAACACCATGAGCATGCACGTCTGATTTCCGCTCTTTTTAGAATATATATTTTCATTGCTGACACGTGACAATGTCCAAACCAAACATCCTAGACTTATATTTTACTAAATAATAACACCAAAGGTGATATAAAAACAAAATTACTATCCTTACCGAGTGTGTTATCGCCGTCTTTTTCAACGGTAGTCTAGGTTTTGCGTAATTAGCGTAGTCTGGGCCTTTGAACATGGCACGAATCTCTTTTACCTGAAAAAGTCAAATAAATATATACATAGTAAACAAGAAACCATTAGCAGGGTTGAAAAATTCCTATAGCTATCCAAATTATTTTCTGAAAATGCAAGATATTTGGAATGGTCTGAAATATACAAAGGTCAATCTGATACAACGTAGGTATCTTTCTAAAATTGTCGAGTAGTCACTATGTAATCGGGTTACTAACTGCTTGAATAGCGGTAGGCACTTCAAAAGAGTGTTTTGCTCATTGATGTTACAGCTAATATATTTACAGTAGTTCAAATTTTGTATGTAGAATACAGAAGTAGTTATAATTTTATACGTAACTACCCTTCGTGACATTCGGACCTAGAAATCGTCGGCTTATTTACTCAGAATGTATTGAAATATAAAACTTACATTTTTAGTCGGTCCATCCACAACACCTGCAAAATCATCTCCTTCGTCAACTGCGGAATGCACAGGTAACGATGGCTTAGGAGGAATAGCTGGCTTATCCGTTAGCTTATCCTTCATTTCTGGAGCTATAACTGAAATTTAAAGAATATTGGATTGATGGGAAACATAATAATACCAAACAAACCAAGTTATTTTTGATTATATTAAAGGTAGTGAATCAAATAGGAATACGCCGTCTCAAATATTGCACATCCGGGCATGCTAGAAATGGTTTTGAAACGTTTAGTGTGAAAATATCTCTCTGGGTAAAACATTATAAACTAATGTTGTATTCACAATCACAAGTTCTTCATCTCAAACATAAAGCCGTAACATCCAACCTGGGTCGAGAAGTTCAGCGCAAATATTTGTTATTAGGAATTTATCGTCATAACATTGTTAGCTCATTACATACGCCCCACGTGCCAATGGTATGAATAAAAAACCACATCGACAGATGATACTGAAGGAGAATTAGTCCGGTAAGTTTTGTGTAAAAATATCTTTTATGACTAGATCAAAAATTCAGCTATTTGTCAAGTAATTCAGTCGGATTCACATCTGAGAGCGAATTGAGCGTATACATTACCGATGAGAATTAGTATATAAATTTTGGTAAATGAACTGTAGTATATTTCGAGCAAGTGGTGGCTCCGTAATAAATCCTAAAACTGTATCCTCTATCTATCTACCTCTCGACCTGAACTTCTGTTCGTTGTTACAAAAAGCACTGTTTTTAATCAGTCAGGATGAATTTTCTAACTAATAATGCCACGTGAATTAGACGTAATTTCCCTTTATTCTGAAATCTCATAGTAATTACCACTCTCGCGCCGTTGACCCGAGAGCTGGGCTCTTAGAATCTCTTGATACTGACAACCTAATCCCCGATTAACGAGTGTGCGTAGATCGAGTGACCCAACCATTAGCTATTTCAGAAATGTGTTGTCAATAGCGCGTAACAAACAATAAAAAATGTCAGTGCATGTTCGAGACGGGGCCATAAAACACGCGAGATATCGACCTAATCTATCTATTGCCCGCGTGTGGTGAATTACAAATATTTCTGCTCGATTCTGCCATCGGCGACGTTTTGTTTGACGGGCGATTAGTTACATGACGCTTTGTCATCAATGTTTTGCTGACCGTCAAACAATGATGGCTATAGAACTGAAAACTAGGACAACAAAGGATAATCTATATTTAGACGGTATGTCTAGTTGTTGGGTTATGCAGCGAGGATGAATTCTTAATAATAACGTGTGCGCAGCATGCACTAATCTCAAAGTGTCATCGTGGGTGATTTCTGTCCGTTTTTGTTCAAGTTCCCCAATAGAAAATTCTGCCAAAAAGCAAAGATATGCGGTTGCTATAGGTTTGCGTCTGAAAATTTGGTCATGTTTGGCTTAACTGAATTTGCTCCCATTCTTCACAGTATTAGAAGTGATTACACCTGCTGAAACTTGGCGTCTTCTAAACAAGCTCAGTAAACTATCACTTGTTTACTTACACTAAAATGTAGACAAACAGTAATTGACAATTCTGTCGAAACATAAAGTATGATAAATTCCTAAATTCCTTCTTGATTGTCGCACTCACCCGAGGTTCGAATGTAAATTTCGTTGGGGGCACGACAGGGACTATTTATAAATGTTCGTCGTTATTTTGGATTGACATCACAGAATGCTGTTCAATAGTATAATACAAGCCACTGTGTCAGTTTTTCACTGATCTATGCTGCGCACTGTGTTACATCTTACTACGGTTTTTGTCGCCGGGAAACCTCAGCCTGGCATATATATTATTTTACCCAGCGAGAAAATGAAGAAATTTTAACATTAACCGAATTTAAGCGATCTGTTCCGCGGATAAACTTAAATTTATATAATATTGTCTAAATATTGTAAAACAGATAAAATACACGCCATCTTGAATAAACATACAGAAAACGACATGGTTGCAGGGGCGTTCCCCTTTATGTGATAGTATGTAATATGATATTTTATATGGCAGGAATGGAATGCTCTTGTTATTTGTCGTTGGCGTGTTTTCATTGAACGGATAAAAATATTACTCGTGAAGAAATGGCGCTCAATATTACAAACACTGTGACGTCATTGAAAGATCAAGAAACAAATATTATATATTCGCGGGTCCAAAAAATTTTTTATACTTTTTACAGCTATGACACTCCTTAGTCCTTATGGTACAATCTGTAGGAAATAAACCCCATTCTTTCGAGGGGTTCACTGCGTTATGTCCGAGAATTCTCAAACTTTCCATCCCGTACCTATTGGTATTAGAAGCGAACTTTTATACTCTATCGAACTTATTCTAAAATTCGCTTGAATAATACGAATAATTTCAATTGAAATTGTCCTTTAGCATTTGCTTTTTAGTCGTACGAGACGTTTTGAGTAGAATGGCGTTCCGGGAGTTGATGTCTCTTATCTCGTGAGAGAGCTTGCGTTCAGCAAATAGTAATTCAAAATTCATCAGTACCGCACAAACTTACACTCCATTACTGGCAAGAAACATTAGTATTACGTCATTGGCAAATAGGCACAAAAACAAATTTCCTACCTCTTCCCGATGTTTCATAATAAATAGTTTGTGGATATTGTTGTTTTTCTTCAAGATTCGGTTCTGGCTCAAGCATGTAATCGAGCCCATTAAGATAGTAATTGCCTACTGGAACAGTATCCATTATCATCGAAATTCGAAATATTTTATATTTTATACGAAGTAGTAAAGTACTTGATAGAAGAATGAACCAGTTAAACATAATATTCCAGATATAATATAAGCATTTATGTGGTATAACTCAATTTGCTCTGGGTGCTTATACAGTCCTATTATATCGCAATTTAAAAATATTTTATTCAACTTCAAACTTAACCTTAAGTTTAAACAATTGTCAGCGATCTAGCCCTAAGTTTATTTTTGCGAGAAGCTTTGTGCGTTTCTTAGCTTTCGAATAATTTCTCCGGACTTACCAAAATCCGGACCATATACAAATACACTGTTTGAACCAACAAAAAGTTTCCATGAACTGTCAGATTGTTGTAGCATATTGTCTAACTGCTGCTAAACCTTCGAACTGTAGGAGACCTCTCGTTTGTCACCAGCTTTACTGATGCAAGTTGTCATAAACAATATTACTATATCCGTAGGCTATCTCAAAATAAATCATTTCTTATATTGACGCCTTCTGGTCGATGAATAGTGTAGTCGTGCGTTTCTATAAAAAAAATTGGGAAACTAACCAGAATTTTGGACAGAGGACTTCTGTGACTCAGGGCCAACAGCATTAAATTATACCTAGAAATGGCGGTGATTTTACCGATAATTTTTAATTCATTGACGCGATCCATGATGTTCGCCGTTCGTAGGATGTAGTGCGTAAACCGTACCGATTTGACGTTTCTCATGTTTTCAAGACAAATTGTTATCAATATCGATTTTTAACCAAAAATGGATGTTATTAATATATAAAAGATTTTCTACATAGAGTTTAACTCTTCGCCCATAGCATGTACAGAAATACAGAATATTTGCCCAACAGCATTACAACTACGTCGTTCGTTCATTCCAAATAGGAACCCATAAACAAATCATCTCAAATCAAAGTTTCAAGGTTTCAGTTTCGCTTGCAGTTTGATGCAGAAAATCAAAAATTGTTAGCAAACTATACCTTAAAATCGGGTTGACGTAAAATTCGCCAAACAAAAAGACCTACGAATATTATGGTAATACACGACGAACTAGTTCTATGAGTTTCTGCTGTTATTCTATTTCTAACTAATTTGAAAAGAGGACGCGACGCCGTCGTCTTCAATAAAAGTCGCTTCCTAATGGAAATAAATCTGACGACAATGGCGGACACTCGTCATAAAACTAAAAGCTAATTACCGCCTTTCATGTTTTGTGTTAAGTTAACGACACTAATAACGTATCTCTTCAGACATCCTGAACCTTATATAACACTGTGATACTTTGTCGTCATTTAAGGTTAAAAGTTTATGGAAAATATAATGTCCAAGCCAAACATCGGTGAATAATCTGAAATAGCTTACCTTAAATTAAGTAATTTAAGTAGCACATATAAGTGAGAGTTGGACACTATATGATAAATATTTTTCATTTCATTAAATACAAAAATATTGAGACTATTATTACATCCAATATTCCGAGGAAATAGCGATATTAGGTTAGAAAAATCAATGCGATCTAGATACTAATATATCTAAGCATCTAAGCAGATACTATATCTAATACAATACCTGTAAAGGTTGCCCAACATTGGGTACTACTCAATACGTGGAGTAGAGTAGAAAAATCCCAAAAGTTATTTAAATTTCGTGAGTCCTGAATGCATTTCAAATATCATATCTACACCATTCAAGCACTATCGGTTAAAAAAGTTAATCCTATACGTGGTGGTTGAAGAGTAACAAAGCTTCGCGTAACTTGCCATAAGTCTACAAAGCCGGATTTTCACTGACACGCATTGAATTCTAAGCATACCTTGCCCAATTGCTGATATGTTTCAAAACAAAATTTAATTAGTTTATATAGTCACGCATGGAGTCATAGATAAGGCCTCAAGAATGCTGAATGGCTTTGTTACATACTTTCGACTACTGATATTATCTTTCAGATGAACTTTTCACAGTGCAGTTGATAGTTCGACAGTGTTCCACGTTTGACCAACGAATACGTTCTGTCTAAAATCTAATCGCACTCTTCATCATGCAAGAAGCTGACGAGATTTATATTATCGAAAATTTACTTGACGAAAACGATCGTACCCAAAAATTACAACCAGAAGAATCATTTCAAATTGACTAAACTTTGACCTTATGTATTTGAGGAGTCATTGGAATTTACTTATCTTTCCCGGTAAAATATCAACAAAATTCCTCCTATTGCCAACAGTATAAACGGAAATGTCGACAAAGCCACAAAAAGTGAGAATCTACTTTCAAGCTGTATTAAAGCTGATTTAAATCCAATTCACTTGCGCAATTACGAAAATAAATTTTGAAAAAACACGGCCCGAATAGTCGAAACTTCTTTGTCTGCTGTTTGC